ATTCAATTGTATTTGGTCACTTCCTCTTTCATCGGAAATGACTATAACTTTTAATTTTTAAACGGCACCCTAGGTATATTTCTACTTTATTTGATAGAAAATGACACTCTGAATAGAATGACATATCATATATCAACTTTTGACATTTTTGCATATGGTTTAATTGTAATTGTAACACGCGGTTCATAACGACAATTTGACTCGAAATACCAAGTGTGTGGTATCAATATATTCATAAAAAAATGCTTTTTCCAAATATGCTAATGAGTCACCCTTGTTCCATTTGAAAAAATTGACATATGTATGATTAAAAATACGATTTGTACATCTTTTAACCGGCCTAGACAAGACACGAAACCCATTAGACGATCAAAACTGTTTTTCCAAGGCTCCTTGATTAAAACTTAGTGTTTTTAACAGCACCCTGGATTGAAATTTAAAATACGATTTGTTTTTAAGCGACAATGTCAAAAGTTGACATATGATATGTCATTCTAGAGTGTCACTTTTTATCGAATAAAGTAGCAATATACCGAGGGTGCCTTTAAAAATCAAAAAATGTAATCATTTCGGTGAAACAGGAAGAGACCAAAAACAATTGAATACGTCAATAAATCCTAATTTATGTCATATACCTACTAATATACAAATCTGTTTCTTTTATCTGAAAAAATAAAAAAGTTATAGGGGTGAGCCACTTTTGAGACGACCTGGTATATTAAAAAATATTGTTTCATAATGTAATATCATTTTAAAATTCTTGTATGTTATTTTAGATTCTGAAGATAATTTTAGAATAAACCGGAATATATTTTTAATAAAAACATTATTAATTATTAACAGTAGTAAGTAAATAATGTAATGTAAGAGAAAAAATTCAGATTTTACATTTTACTAAAATATTATCTAAATAAGCGCCTTTCTATAACAACGCCACTGACTCCTAATGGGTAAATTGAGAGTTGCCTACCGGTCGAAAGTCGTTTCAAGACTTAAATGGATTATTTAAGTCAAATTTCTTGCAAATTTGGCACTGACGAACCCTATTTTATAGTTATTGAACAGAAAAAGTCAATAAAATAAACACTTAAAGACTACAAGCTAAGAAAATGCGTTAATACAGCCAGGGACATAGCGGCAACAAAGCTTTACCGTACACGTGCGACGCGTACTACAAGGTAATGAATGAATAGGCTCCCCTCGCCTCTAATCGGTGTTGTCATATTGTAAAGAACTTATCCTTTTTAAACAGTATCCGACTTATAATTTAGTAGTATAAGGACTATTTAATACATCTACGGAATATTAAAACCTACTTTATTAAAATGTAGTATTAATATCTCAATATATGTGTATAACAAGAAAAAAGATATTGATAATGTTAAAGACGTGACAACATAGGCTGGATGAGGAAGGCTCGGTCGACTGTACCCAGAAGTAAACATGTGTACAAAAAAGATTGTTTGACCGCGTTGAGATGTAAATTGTGCAGTCTATTTATTTTATTTTAAGTCTATGGGTTAAATTAACTGTTTAAAAGATATTTATCGTCAAACTTCAATGCACAATAATGTTAACAGTTTTTGATTAATAATTCCAACCCAGTTTTATCTCAGTTGATAATTAAATAAAAAAAAACCTTTGGATAAAATTGAATTTTTTCTTCTTATAGAGGCCAATACTCAGACCAATAATTATTATATTAAATTTGTCACATAAACATTATTTATTCGAAATTTAATCAATCAGACTCTAAGTTAGAAAAAATGCAATAATTTTTTGTTTCAATATGCTTAAATCTAAAAAAAAGTTTAAAGCATTTCTTTGTTCATAGATCCTCAAATTTGTACAAATTTTCCCGAAACTCATAAAATAAATTGGAATTGTTCGAATTATTAATCAAAAACTGTTAAAATTATTGTGCATTGAAATTTGACGATAAATATCTTTCAAACGGTTAATTTAAGTTTAATTGACTAATCATAAGAAACCATTTGTGTAGAGCAGTGAATTTCCTACAAAACCATGAGTTATAAAATTCATCAGAAAAAAGAAATCTGCCTTATAATCAGGGTTGGCATGATTTAAATCAAGTGATTTTTAAATTTTAATCATTGATTTAAATCAAAAAAAAATAATTTTATTAAAACTTTATTATAAATAAAAAAATAACTATAAAAGTTATAAAAATGTGTCCTAGAAAAATATAAAAAATATTTCTATAAAAGATATAACAGATAATAAATCGAAAAGTAATTGTAAATGTTATAAAATTATATAAAAATATCTATTCGTCAATTTAAATGTTGGACCGATTTCTGAAGTGATTTCGTGTGAATCCATTAGACCGCTAAACGCAGGGATTTATTTTAAAATTTATGTATAAGTGACAAAAATTCGCTGTTTGAATACATATCATTCGCAGTCTAGTGCAGAACTAGGTTCTACTGATATAGAGACTATATCTTCATTCCCGAGAATGTATCATAATCGTTGTCAGGAAATATGTTATATTTTGAAAATTTTGAAATGGTTGTATTTTTCCAAGTTCTTACCGACATTTTGATCTGCGATTACAGTTGAGGGTTGGAACCTTTGGTGTTACACGGCAAAATAAAACACTAAATCACCACAATACACCAAAACACTTTTACTTAATTTTTTGAACAGCGGGAAGGTACAGCAATGGGTAATCATTGTCTCCATTTTTGGCTAATTTATTCATGAGCAGGTTTGAAGTGGAGGCTAAGAATCATTTTGAGTATGTTCCAAGAGTATGGTTTAGGTATGTGGATGACATTTTTGCTGTTTTTGACACACATTCAGACACCATAGATAATTTTATTTCTAAGTTAAATAATCGTTTTCCTTCCATTAAATTTACACATGAAATTGAGAACAACGACAGATTACCATTTCTAGATGTATTAGTTATTAGAAATACTAATAATTGCCTGGAATTTGATATCTATAGGAAAATACCACTACACGCAGATATATTCCTAATGAATCATATCATAGTATTGCACATAAAATGGCTAGTTTAAATTTCTTAGTTCATAGATTACTTAGTTTTCCACTTTCCAACGAAAGATATGAAATAGAAAGAGATTACATTAGGAATGTAGCTGAGTGTAATGGATATTCTCCTTCACTAGTTGATAAAATAATTAGAAAACGTAGGTATAGGTTAATGATTTCTGAAAATTCGACTTTTCAAGTGGAGACAGATACGTCAAAATATTTTTCAATACCGTTTGATAGACAGTTATCCTGTGGTCTAAAAGGAATTTTTAAGAATGTCAATTATAATCTTGTGTATAGTGCTAATAATAAATTACAACAATTATTAGGTAATCCAAAGGATAAAACACCTCTACTGGAAAGGTCGAGTATTTATGAAATTTCTGGTAAAGATTGTAATCAGAAATATATTGGGCAAACTAGAAGATCAATATTAACTAGATTTAAAGAACATTTAGCTCAGATAAGATATGGTAGACCTGATAAATCTTGCGTTGCCGAACATATTGTTGATAAAGAACATTGTATAGATCTTAATAACTTAAAATTACTTAAACAAGTCTCAAATTACAGGCAATTAGATGCATATGAAAGCATCAGAATTAATAAATGTAAAGATAGTATGAACAGAGACAACGGTCCAATTCCTTCAAGTTCTTTGTTCCTACTACTCTAGTGGCGGAAATCTAATTGTTACGCTCGGTGGGTTCTGACTCGGTTGGCTAGATCTTGCCACGCCCACTCTGTGCCCACTGAGCAAGTATATAAATGCTCCAATTGTAGATTGTATTTTAGTTTATAATCATCTGCTGATGATGCTAACATGGTTAGCGAAACGCGCGTCCAGTGTAAAAGTAAAAGTGTTTTGGTGTATTGTGGTGATTTAGTGTTTTATTTTGTTTTTTTATTTTGATCTGCGGTAAGTATTTTACACTTTGACATTAGATGATACTAATTTCATTCTCGACTTAAGAGTATTCCCGAACAATAGTGTATTGTTTTATTAGGAGTAAAAATTATACTTTTTTTGATGATGCTGTACTTTTGATCATCCATCGTAAAGCTATTCCGATGTTACAAGGAAGCACAAAAAGTACATTTTTACTCCTAAAAGAACATACATACTATTTTTTTAAAACATTACAAATAATTTTTAATCAATTTCAAACATTGCAAATAATATAAACAGTACTCGAGCAACAATTTATACACTCGTTGAATTTGACACTTAATATCAGTTTAATAATATATTTTTGTACTTTTGTGCTTAGGCATAACAGTGCTTTACTTTTATACCTAGGCGTTAAAATGACAAAAATTAGTACTTCTGAGACATTTGAAAAAAATCCTTTTGATCTGAAGCGAGCGATTTTTTGCGAAATATATTGGTGACCGATGTGGAAAAATGACAAACGCACCCTGGAATTATTAATGTTATCGATACCGGGCAGAGTTATAAAGATTTAGCCATTTAGGATAGGACTTTAATTGGAAATAAGTCCTAGTCATTTGGAAACCCGATTTAAATATTGTTTTGAATTAAAATTTAAAAAAATCTGATTTAAATCAAATAAATCTAATTTTTTGATTTTTTAAAAAAAATCATGATTTTTTCCAACCCTGCTTATAATCAAACTTCAACCTTTAATAACTTTCAAACGGTGAGGTTTATAAAAAAAATTATAAGAGACCTTTTTGGTTTGTAGAATACAATTTACTACAAACATATGAGATATTTTTTCCAAATCGTAGATACCGAGATATGAATTTTTCTTTCTAATAATAAGAAAAAAAATAGAAAACTGAAAGGCGGAGAACCTTCCTATTAAAATTAAGAGATCATACTTGGAGAGAATTTTTTTGAGGTGTCTACCAACCATTTTTTCAGAGTATAAAGTGAAAAAAATAGTCAATTTTTTTGATCCACCCTGGTATACATTTACACATATTGTTAACTTAAATAAAATATCTCTTACGCTCCATTAATATGACTTAAAGATGCTTCCAAAACAATCTCATCTAAGACACCTTCGATTCTAAGCGGTTTTATGCCTCTTTGGTAATTTCCTGCATTAATGTCTGGATGGGAAAATGCTGTAAAAGCAACCAATACATAGCTGGAATGTGTATCTGGATTATGTCTAGTCACAGCCACAATGTCTGGATCAATTTGGTCAACATACACCTGAATAAAATTTATGATAAAGAAATGTACAGACTGAGACCAAAAAGTTCGCAACAAATGGGATTTTTTATTATTGAGTTATCGAAAAAAAGAGTATGCAAAATTTCGTCAGAATATCCGATAACATTTTTTTTTTAAATCATGCTACAGCTGAACCATTCACTGCACAATTTGATTAACTCCACTTTGGCAAAATCTTAACTTTAAGTGTAAAACCATTTGGAATATTCATAACTTTTTGAAGTGAAATTTTTTTACGCGCGATGGGAGTAAAAATTGAAGGCTGACACGAGACGCGAAAGGAAAAGTGGTAACGATCGGAGGTTACGACGAAGCGTCGCGTCGTAACTCGGGCCCTATGTGAGTTAGGGGGCTGAAACTCGGAATGTAGATGGAGCTCGAAAAGCCCCATCTTTTCATGATATTTTGACGACGTTTCGTGTACTACGAAACCGCATCATCAATGAATCAAATAAAAAAATCGTCTGATTTAAATGAAATTTATTCGATAGAGTCGATAGATTGGACCAAGGCCAACTTGACCGTGTACGACACGTGTCACTGTAACAGTTAGTTTTGACGTAAGAAACGTCAAAGTTTGATGTCGTCGGATCGCGACCAAATTTGGTGGGTAACCAACCGTGCAAAGTTGGATACGACGTTTCGTTTACATCTTCACCAGAGTGGGACTAAGGAATTGATATCGAAGAAAAATGTGGGTCGATTTCGGCATAATTGGGAACAAGCTACAGCATGACGCTCCCGACGTTTTGAACTGATGCCTCTAAATGGACAAAATCGTCAGGATTTTTCTTAATTATGGGTCGATTGAAAACAAACTCGGCACCTGGATACAGGTATCCGAATGGAGTCCTCAGAAGGACAGATGGGCAGATGGACAGACGGAAGTAAGAAGTTTCACTTCAAATATGCGCACATGGTACACACACAATTTTTTTATTAAGTTATCGAAAAAAAGAGTACCTATGCGAGATTTCGTCAGAATATCCAATAACAAAAAAATAATTTTGAGATCATTCTACAACTGAGCCGGTCACTACATAGTCTATAAACTCCACTTTTAAAAAATCTTAAATTTAAGTGTAAAACCACAGTCCATTGAAATAAATTTTACAGGATATACAAAAAATTATTTAAAATATTATGAATATTAAAAAGAATAATAAATCTAACAGCGCTTTCAGATGGAGCAGAACGTCCGCAACTTCGAGCAAGTACCATGAATTTATATGAACAATTTCACATGGGTCGCGTATGCTCCGTCCGGATGAGTTCGTCGACGGCTATCTTGAAAAAACATCCGCGCAGACGCTCCGCGCGTTCGGCCCGCTCCCCCTGAAAGCGCTGTAAAGCACTGAATTTATCTGGTGCATTATTTCTTAAAAATATCTTGCATAAAAATGTAATTGAGAGAGTTTCTCTTGGGATAACGAATTAAATGGTGCATAGAACTCAATTTTCAAAAATGTGTGACTTGTCGGGTTTTGTATTTAGACGCATAATTTATTAACAACAAAAACTAATTATACAATGATATTCATAATTTATAAAAAAATCCAAATATTAGACTTCGAGATGCTCAAGAAATTATTTTTAAAGTAAAAAGTACAGTTTTTTATTTTAATTTTAAATATATTCAAACCAACCTAACCTAACCCAACCCGAACAACTTTTCCCGTTGACTTTTTTTCGATACTTTGTCACCTAACCCCACTTTTTGCATATGTAAATGTAAAGAAAATTTTGTAATTTGCCGCCATGGCAGTTATCGTATAGAGAATGTCAAAATTAATTTTTGTTTATAAGGAAATTCCGCAATTAAATTTTTTTTTTAAAAAAACACTTGTTAAGAACTTTTTGATTTTTTATAATTAATAATCTATCTTTTTATTAACCTGACTGTAGCCTTCTTTCCCCAAACGATAGTGAAGTTCGTGCAATGCTTTCTTTGCCGGGATTATACCACTTTTAGAATTAACATATTTATTTCCAGTAGGGAGTGTGTCTTCTTTAGACCATTCTGTATACTGTCTGTTTTCATCAACGACGTGAATGTGATGTGGAACTAATTCGTCGTATCCACGATTAGAACCACTCGCACAACAAGCCATATTGACCAGAGCAGAGCTAGTTAACAAGTCAAAAACTAGAAAATATATATTTTATAACAATTTACTATTTTTAATGTATCATCATTGCTTTTACCAGATCTTTTCTGAACAGGACTTGGATTATCGTGAGTTAAATCTAGGAAGAGAGCATGAGCTACCATTGGAACCAGAGGCCTAACATTGGGTTGATAAAATGAGCCTACAGGTAAGCCACCGTAGCGATAAACCAAACGTCCTTCTTCATGGGAATCCCAGGCAGACATTGCCTCTCGAATTAAAGAAGTTATACCCAACCTAACCCAAAAACATATGTATGCTTACAACCTTTGAATTAAAAGATTAAGGAAGGAGTATATCAAAAAACTTAGATTAAACGCGACGGGGTCCCAGAATAGTACAAGGAACACAAATATTTTAAGATATATTTTTTACTATGCTGTCTAGAACAGCGTGCGGGCCGTATGGCTGTCGATAAACGCTTCACTTTTTTATTTTATTTTCGTTTATATTCTGATAATAAAGTATTAAATAATTCTGGTAGTTAAAAAAACAAATATTTAATACTTTACTATCGAATATTAACGAAAATAAAATAAAAACGTTTTTACCCCGAGCCGGTTTCGAACTCGGACTCCTCGCTTCATAGGCGGAACCTCTGCGCGCGGTCCTATGGAGACTTGCTCGATTTATATTCAATACTAGAATTTGACGGACTAAATAAAAAAATATAGGATATTTTTCCGATGCGCAGTAGTGAACGCAACGTGTATCGGCACCCAGACGGCCCACATGCTGTTCCAGAGAGCATAGTAAAAGATATATCAAAGATATATCTTTCTTAAAATACTTTCTCAAAAACGTTGCTAGCTCTTAGATTAGAATAGCCGACTTAAATTCCCGTTTATCAGTGCCGTTCTAATTTTATTCAAAACGTTTAAAATATAATGTAGGGTAGACATGGGGTAGACTCAATAATTTGTTGTTTTATATTACGTTGCCAATAAATGTTGGTAGTAATTAAAATTGTTATAAAAATATATAATTCTAATAAAAAGAGATAAGTTATAATATTTATTTATCAACAAAAAAATCCGATACGCTACTGAAGCAAGTAAGTCAAATTGATGTATCTAAATTCTTTGACACGAAGTAAATATAGGCAAAAATATACAGGGTGTCCCAGAAATAAGTGCAAGTATTTCAACGGTAAGTATATTGCGGCCTATGAGGTATATATTTTTTGCGAAAATTTTTTTTTGAAAATTTGGAATTTTTTTTAATAAGAATTTTTTTTAGTTATAAGTTAAAAAACATAATTTCTTGATAATATGGCAACATAGGTAGTAGCTAAATTTAAATGAAAGAAAATCCAGAAAAGAGTGGTTCTCAAAATTTTAGCAAAAAAATCATTTTTTTTTGGAAATTTTCAAAGTAAAATAACTCGGTTATTTTGGACTTATTTGAAAAACGGTAAAGAGAAAAAACGTTTCTTTTGACCAAATCTACCACCCCTTAAAATACTTACACTTATTTCTGGGACACCCTGTATAATTAGTTAATTTTAAGTGAATTTCATAAATAATCGGTTTACTACACGTATGTATATTATACCGGGTGTTGCATCGTCGAGCGGGACATAGGAAATCCCATGTAAATTTTAATGGGGTCAATTATTAGCTTCCCTAATTATTTGATGTAGGAATGAGTTTTCAATAATAATAAAGCACTAAATAGGTAAATTTCTGAAATGACAACTTCATTTGACAGTTATCTTTTACCTTGACTGGTGCTCATAAGTAAATACAGGGCCATAAGGAGAAATATTTAAAAAGAAATCGGCGATAACTCGTAAACGAGCTAATCAAAAATATCTAAAGTTGTTCTTTTGAATGTGGGTTTTAGTGCTCCTCAATAAACCTAAATAGAATTATTCTCTAAAATAATTAGGGAAGCCAATAATTGACCCCTGATTTCCTATGTCCCGTCCGACGATGCAACACCCGGTATAGTCCCTTACTGAACGCAAGTCGGTCCTTTTCGTTCAACAGCTTTGAACTACGCAAAAATCATTCCGTTCCCTCGATTTTTGATCGAGATCTACCGCACGCTACACAACCAACTATTTTACAGTCTTTTTCGATAAATCACAATATTGTCACAGTTAATTTAAGTTCTGCCACAATTTCCTTCTAGATTTACAACTTTTAAACAATTATCAGTAGTAGAATAAATAATAAATAATATAAAATAAGCTCAAGTTTGTCAAATAAGTAAAGTGTAAAGTTTGACAAATCCACTAAATTTCAAATAAAATTCAAATGTGTCAAATGAATCGTTAAACAGAACTGTCAAGGATCCCCACCCTAGGGCCCTTTCTCCGTCTACCGTGCATGAATACACGGATAGCATTATACTCCTTCCTTAATATTTTTATTCAAAGCTTTCAACAAAAGGTTTAAGTTAATTATTAAAAGTTATACCTATTAACAAATATATTGTCCACTAAATCTGAATTGGTGAACAATTCGGCAACTACATATAAATCCGGCCTAACTTTTCTTGCGCAATCAAGTAAATATTCGGCTACATGAATTGGCGTGGAATGGCAATTATCTAGGCGAATACCGTCAAAGATTTTAGCTGTTTGCTCCACATATTTTCGCATATGGTTCCATAAAAATGGACAGTCTTCAGGTTTATCACCATAATGTAATTTCACGCTGTCGCCCCAAGCTAAATATTAAAATTTTATGGATATTTAAAGCTCTAATATAACTTAATACTAAAAAACTAACCAATAAGTTCTCTTCGAATATAGGTCTTTGTTCCAGCGGCGGCAAAATTCTTTAAAGGATCTGAATTCATTACCCACCCATTATGTGCCATTAAGTATTTTCCATTTTCCGAATACATTATTTCTTCATATTCGCTAAGAGTAATTGGTGATCCATAATCAGTAAAATATCTGAAAAATATAAAATATGTTGTATCATTTTGTTATAAAACAACATTGTGTGAATACCTGTAAACCAAAGGCTTGTTTTCAGTAATATCTTTAAATCTCGGTCCGTCTTGCTGCACTCTATGATATCTAATGCCAGCAATGACATTTTCAACTGCTACATTCAAATCATCGTTAACTTCCCTGATCACTATGTCATTCAACGACTCAAGTTTAGTCTTAAAATCCTCCGTACATCTATGTAAAAAAGTATTTAACATTATAAAATTTTCCAAACAGTTAGCGGAACGAACACAATATTTTACATGTGAATATAAAGAATTAAAGTTTCAATTAAAGAAAATAATCAGTGTTGGAACTGATTGAGAAAAGACTATACAATATACAGGGTGGTCCGAACTGTATTCAGGAAACTTCGGCAGTATATTCTGCAGATAAAAATAAGTAAAAAAGTTCGTATAAATGTATGTCCTAAAATGCTTAATTTCGGAGATACAGGGTGTAGAAGTTTCATTTTTATTTCGATTTTTTCTAAATAACTTCTGAAACAACGTCAATATTTGGATGAAAATTGGTGTCTGGGAGTTTTTTGACATGAGAAATTTTATTTTGATGTCAATATGACTCCTACTAGTAGCTCCATGGGAACACCAAACCTGCAGATCCATTCTTTAACAAGGGCATCAGCAATGGTGGACGCTTCTTGATTTGGCAACGCGTAGGCCTCGACCCATTTGCTGAAGTAATCCATTACTACCACAATGTATTTGTTGCCATCGTTCGTCTCCGGGAAAGGACCAGCCACGTCGATCGCTATTCGTTCGAAGGGACTGCCAACATTGTACTGGCGCATAGGGGCTTTACCACGCTTTTGTGACCCGTTGATGGCTGCGCAAATGTCACATTTCTTACACCAGGCCCTCACATCTTCTTTGCAGTTCACCCAATAGAACCGTTCACGCAGCTTGCCAAGTGTCTTGGTAACACCAAGATGTCCACCGCTGGTTCCATTGTGAACTTCCTCCAAGACTTCCGGGACCATCTTCTTTGGAATGACGATCTGCCTTCTCTCTTCTTGTCCTTCCGGTCTCTCGGTCACACGGCGAAGTAATCCGTTATCTATTACCAATGAATTCCACTGTACGACTTCACGTTTGGCGAATATCTACAAACTTCCTCCCACGTTGGTCTTTGGTCTGCGTTTTTCCAGTTAATTACTAAACCTAATTCTGAGTCACTGGTTTGGTCATTTGCAAGATCTTCGGGTTGCCAATTATCATTAACCACAGTTGTTCTTAGGAGTTTCGCTTCTTTTTCTTCTGCTCGGGAACAATGCTTACAGTCCTTAGCGCAAGGCCTTCTGGAAAGTGCGTCGGCATTTCGATGGATTGCCCCAGCTCGATGTTCTGTGTCAAAGTCGAATTCCTGTAATCGTTCGATCCATCTAGCTACCTGCCCTTCAGGATTCTTAAACTGCAACAGCCATTTCAAAGCAGCATGGTCTGTTCTTAACAAGAACTTTCTTCCATAGAGATACTTGTAGAAATTTTCCACTGCTTTAACTACTGCAAGTAATTCTCGTCTAGTTACACAGTAGTTCCTTTCTGGTTTTGACAAGGTCTTACTAAAATAACCAATTACTTTTTCTTGACCATCCTGGATTTGAGACAGAACAGCGCCTAATCCAACATTGCTAGCGTCGGTATCTAATATAAAATTTCCGTTGCCAAAAGGGTAGCTAAGTATGGACGCACTAGTCAGGGCCTTCTTCATTTTTCGGAATGCCTCGTCAGAATCTGAGTCCCAAGAGAAACGCCTCTCGCCTTCGGTAAGTCTGGTCAATGGTTTTGCGATGGTGGCGAAACCCTGTACATAGCAACAGAATAATACTCCCATTATTCATTTTACCTTCCAGGCAACCATCCAAAAATATCTCACAGCGCGCAGGGATCGAAACATCTTCTGCTACTACCACGCGAAGCGTCTCCTCACATTTTCGATGTGGAACCACTTCTTCTTCATTTATTTTCAAAATTCCTTGTTTGAGATTTAGTTCAAAACCTCTAGTGGTCATGACGTCCATTCCGAGAATAAGTTCATCTTCGATGTCTGCTACTAACACTCGATCATTAAAACAGGTGCTTCCGATAACAAAATTAAGATCTACCTCTCCATGGATGAGAGCGGAGCTTTCTGTAGCTGTACGTAGTCGCTATTGTGTTGTTTTAATCCTTTTAGATGTTTTAAGGATATCCGGCCTGATAATCGTTTTGGTCACACCCGTATCCAACAGCATGGTCCGTAACTCTCCATCCACAAAAATGCTGTTGAACTTGTGTTGTAGCGATGCGACTTGAGCAGTTTTCGTTGGAATCTGTTGGGTACTGCTCGATATGTGTCCCTTTGATTCGACATTTTGGCGAAACCGGGTCCACGTCTTTTTCTTTACAGTGACTTCTTACGTGTCCTGCCTGGCCGCAATTCCAGCAACAAGTCGGTCCTTTCTTGCCTATGTACTCCTCCATGACTTTCCGTACAATGCTTTCCACGGATTCGTCGAAACATTCGTTGACCGCCCGTACTCTCACTAGAGACCGAGAATTTTGTTTCGCGGCCTCAAATTCTAGGGCACGTGCTAAAGCATCTACCAAGCGCGTTGGGTGGGCTAGAAGAAGCGCTTGCCTTGTCTCGCTGTCACGTAAGCCATCGGAGAATGCCTGTACTGCCAACCGCTCCATAACATTCTCGGGTGTAGCAGGATACGCAACGCGAACGAGGCGGGCTACGTCGGCTTCAAACTCCTGCAGAGACTCATTTGCCTTTTGAGTGCGATTTTTTAGCTGGGAATGATAGACATGTTCCAAATGAGCTTGGCCGTACCTCATTTCTAAATGTCGTACCAATTGCTGATAATCTCCCTGTTCCGATGGTGACAGTGTCTGCAGGATATCAGTCGCATCTCCTCGCAATGCGATAGTCAAAGCAGTAGCATTTTCAGCGATTGTCCAGCCGTTCACTCTCGCAGCGGCTTCAAATTGGCAAAAATAATTGGCCCAAGCGGTTTTCCCGTCAAACTGTGGAGGTTTCATAACTGACTTTGAGGCATACTTATTTTCGACTAGTTTCGGTTCCTCCGATGTTTCTTGACATTTTGGTAAATTTGCCTTTGCTATTTCTTCTCTTAAAATTTCGATTTTTCTATTTACATCTTCCTCAATCTCTGTTATTTTGTCTTGTGTATCTATTATCTTCTCTTCTAATTCCCTGGAATTTTCTACTATCTTGTTATATAAACATTCTTCTAAATTACGTATTTTGTTCTAAAAGTATTTTGTAAAGTATTTTATTAAAAAGTAAAGTATTTTCTTATTAAAGCTGGCCTGTATATCTTTAGAATTTTCTATGATCTTATCTTCTAATTTTTGGGAATTTTCTGTGATTTTATCACTAATTTTATCTTCTAAATTAACTTCCAAATCAATTATTTTTCTATTCAAATTGTTCAAGTTGTCGTCTAATTTTTGTAAGGATGAGTCATGGTCACCTTCCAACTCAAAGCAAAATGTGTCAGGATTCTCGCCTTCCTCAATCAAAACGTCTCTCAGTCTGGCTTGCAAAATGGTTTTCTTTCCATCTGTCTCGCATTCCCTCTCTTCTAGTATGCATTTAATTCCGACACTTTCAAGTCTTTCAATAATTTTTTCGGAGCCATTGTCAGTTTTTATTTTTCTAGTCTAAGACACACACCACACACGACACCAATTGTTACGTTTTTCGTCGGTTCCGCGTGGATAGAAAGTCACAATTTATTTAAACACAATTTATTTAACACTAATTAACAAAAACAATAACGATTAAAAACGATTAAAAGACTTAAAGAATTATTTATAACTTATTTACAATTTATCTAATTATTTATCTAACAGGAATTTATTTTGAATTAACCCTTTAGGCCGCAGCCGCCGGCTTTTATACCCACAGCTAAAGATTTCTCGAATAGTCCATAGATCGTTAGGTGCATAGAGAAGGTTTCGATTGTTCTCGTATGTACTACTCCATTCCAGTGGAACTCGATTGTTCTCGAACGTTCGAATGAATAATTACGGTGTCTATTCTTTAATGCGATGTTAAGGTCATCTGAGGGCGGGACATACAGTTAGGTTAGGTCGAGTCCACACGGGTCCGCAACAATATTTTATTATAGTTAATCACTGTTTAGCCTTTAAACAAAGTTTATACAAACGGTGGAAGTGAGCATGAAACTTTTTGATTTTACCTTATTAAGAAATTATTGTTATCAGGTAGTAATTGTTAATTTTGAAGTTTAACTTGATATAATGTCTTTTTAACAGAACGTCAACGGTTTTTGTAGTATCTGTTTTAAAATAACTAAAGTCTTCTCGAATAGTTGCATTTAGATATTCTAAGTAGTTTTTTTCTTTATTCTTTTTGTTTTTTTTTGCTTCCAACGACAGAGTAAGACAAATTTGTTTATTAGTAAACCACTGCTGACAATTAGTCTCTGTTGGATTAACGCAGCAGTGTTTACAAAAAATATCTATTTTATTTCGTAGATTTTCTTACAGTGGCGAAATACACATAGGACTTTTTTGGAAGGTTATTTTGTTTTTGGACTAGACAAATTTATAACCACCTGTAATAAAAAGCATAAAACCATACATGAAAGTGGCAATAAATTAAGTAAATATATTTCTTACATTATTTAACACACTATGCCTACCTTTTTAATCTCGACTCCTCATCAAAACAATCCTGCCTGTAAACATTATACGTTTTCACAGCCAAATCTAAATCTATGGTAGACTTAAGACGTCGGTACTCCACATCTTGAATGATCTTAAGCTCTTCCAATGATTTATTCTCCCCGCTTGCTGGTGGAGTTTTTCTCGCTAAAGACATAAAGTCTTCCACATACTTATTAACATCTACGGTGTACAGTTGATAAATTTTTAAACCCTCCAAAACGTTTGTTTTGAAATGGTAACGTATAGCGTTCAAATGGTCCTCATTATCAACTACAGTTGGTATACCACAATTTTCGTAATTTCCTAAGATAACAAGATATTAATTTTCAATTGAAACAAAAATTAAATATATACCTTTTTTCACATCCAATGAGAATACGTGAAAAGCTGCATCTAAGATATAAGCTGGACGCAAATAAGGGCAGTGTAAACAATTATAAGTAGATTCAGGATGATCTTTAAGCCATTTACTTTCATTTGCTGTATGATTCAAAACAATGTCACAAATCGATAATACCTATTAACAAATATTATAATTTTGTATTATATTGTACCGTATGTATGATCGAATAAAAACGGCGTCAGCGATGGCTATGAAATGAAGGTCGCTGTTATTTTATTTGTAAAATTATATATGGGAAATGTCATCGATTATCATTTCATAGCCATCGCTGACGCCGTTTTCATTCGATCATACGGTATAAATAACATACTGTCCGTTATCAGCAACTATCATTCAACGTTACGTCATCATTATTTGTCAAATATGCGTTTTAGTGTCTAAAATGGGCCGAATTCTGGATATTCTAGCCCTGGGCCGAATTCTGGATACGCGTTGAGCACATATTAGCAGCATCGCAATTTCTCAGGTATACCGGGTGCGACTCAAAAGTGGCTCACCCCTATAACTTTTATTTTTTCAGGTAAAAAATCGAAATTTGGTATGTTAGTATATGACGTAAATTGGGATTGATTGACGTATTCAATTGTTTTCGGTCACTTCCTGTTTCACCGGAAATGACTAAAACTTTTGATTTTTAAATGGCACCCTCGGTATTTTGTTACTTTATTTGACAGAAAATGACACTCTGAATAGAATGACATATATCATATATCAACTTTTGACATTTTCGAATACAGTTTATTTTAAATTGCAACATACGATTCATAACGACAATTTGACTCAAAATACCAAGTGTGTGGTACCAAATTATTCGTAAAAAAATGTTTTTTTTCCAAATATGCTAATGAGCCACCCTCGTCCCATTTAAAAAAATTGAGATATCATTAAAAATACTATTTGGGCATCTTTTAACCGCCCACGACAAGACACTAGAAACTTTAGACGATCAAATCTATTTTTTCAAGACTCCTTGATTAAAAATTAATATTTTTAAGGCGAAAATGTCAAAAGTTGACATATGATATGTCATTATATTCAGAGTGTCATTTTCTATCAAATAAAGTCAAAAAATACCGCGGGTGCCATTTAAAAATCAAAAGTTATAGTCGTTTCCGGTGAAACAGGAAGTGGACGAAAAGAATTAAATACGTCAATCAATCCTAATTTATGTCATATACTAACATACCAAACCTCGTTTTTTTATCTGAAAAAATAAAAAAAGTTATAGAGGTGGGCCACTTTTGAGACGCACCCGGTATAATAGCCAAATGTGGATAAAACAATAAAAAATGTCAATATTACCAGAGATGTTACGTAAATTACATAACCTATTGTTAAGTTATGTCAACCTATTCTCCTATGGGTAACTTTGAATAAGAAGACTAAGGAAGGAGCATAATGCTGTCCATGTATTCATGCATGGTGGGCGGAAAAAGGACTCTAGGGTGGGGATCATTGACAGTTCTGTTTGACGATTCATTTGACACATTTAAATTTGATTTGAAATTTTGTGGATTTGTCAGTTTTTCGGGAGCTTATTTTATGTTATTTATTATTTATTCTACTATTGATAGTTGTATAAAGGTAGTAAATCTAGATGGAAATTGTGTGGCAGAACTTAAAATAACAGTGACACTATCGCGATTTATCGAAAAAGACTCTAAAATAGTTGGTTGTGTAGCGTGCGGTAGATCTCGGCAAAAATCGAGTGAAATAATTGAACAACTTTTCGCTCTAGTAAGTGACTATATAATATACATACGTGTAATAAACCGATCATTTATGAAATTCATTTAAATTAACTAATTATATATTTTTTTCTTGCATTTTTGCTTTTATTTACTACTTGTCAAAGATTAGATGTCAAAGAATTTAGATACGTCAATTTGACTTACCTGCTTCAGTAGCGTATCGGATGTTTATGGTTATAAATAATTATTATAACTTATCTATTTTTATTAGAATTTTATATTTTTATAACAATTTTTATAACTACCAACATTTATTCACAACGTAAAACAAATTAAAAATTATAGAGTCTACCACACGTCTACCTTACATCATAGTTTTACATTTTTTAATTAAAATTAGAACGGCACTGATAAACCGGAATTTAAGTCCGCCATATTTGAGGCCCATCGCGGTGGACCTAAGATTTTTGATATGCTCCCTCCTTAGTCTTCTTATTCAAAGATGGAAAATATGTCATTATTCTTATTATACGAGGGAAATACTGAAGACGCTTCTCGGCATTTTCGATATTTTGAACAATATAAATTATAATTTTCGATGTTTTGAACAAAATAAAAGCTGCCAAGTCGTAAATTATCAATTACTTATTGAGAAATTGATAGAAGAAATAGTTTTCACTAGAGAGTAAGAGAACGCACAAAATCACAATTTTTTCTGTTTTTGCTGACAGTTCGACAAGCAAAACGATCCTTTTAAGGTAGCCGTTTTCAAATCGCTTAGCCTAATGGGTAAAGACACTAAGCGCGTCAGATGAGAATACCCAAATCGGTAGTTCAGTGCGCGCTAAAGGAAAATTATCATCATATACCCGCTGAGCGTCTAAAAGCGCTTAGCGTTTCCTAAGTTACAGAATTCGGGCCCAGAATACTACCAAAAAATCTGAAGTAAAAACACTTAAAAACACAATAAAAGCGTCTCGTGTTAGTTAAAAATCAAATTATTGACATGAGATACTGGACATTTTCATTGTTGAAATTGACAGTTTTGGAATTTTGGGCCATTTCTGGCCATTCTAGTGGTTGAAAAAAAACGTTTTTTAATGAATTGTCGTTTCCATTTAAGTTTCCCAGCCATAAATAAACGCAAAAATATAGTTAACTTTAAGTGAATTTCATAAATGATTGGTTTACTACAACGTCTGTATATTAGTAACTTACTAGCGAAAAGTTATACCATTATTTCCCCGGATTTTTGACCGAGATCTACCGCACGCTACACAACCAACTATTTTACAGTATTTTTTCGATAAATCGCAATAGTGCGATTAAGTGTGCAATAGTGCGACAGTTAATTTAAGTTCTGCCACCATTTCCTTCTAGACTTACCACCTTTTAACAAATCAATAGTAGAATAAATAATAAATAACATAAAACAAGTTCTAATGAACTTGTTTTATGTTATTAGCATAGTAGCTACTACTATTAAGCATAGTAGAAGGAAAAGAGTAGTTGCACTCTCCCAAATATTTTCAGCCAGTTTTTACAATCTGTCGAATATCGGCATATTGCAGAGTGTTTTGGTTGAGTTCCGACGCGTCGACCTGCGAGGTTCGAGCGTTGCGTCCCAGCACAGAGACGAAGAACTTATTAGAACTTGTTTTATGTTTTTTATCATTGACAAAAAATGAGTGCCTTACGGTGTGCTGCTATTGGTTGTAGTAATAATTAAAAAAATTGTGAATGTCATTTGTGATCATGTTTGTGTTCAGGTTAATTTTCTCATGACTGATTACTACTTAATAATTTGATATTATGTTCATTTAAAACTCAACTTTTTATCGATTTTACCTTTGACAACCATCCCTTGCTTGCTGTTTAACGCACTGCGCCATCATTGAAAAAGAATTTGCTAGTACCAAATATACCGAAAAAAATGGAAATCCTGGTTTCTTAGAGGCACGGTACCGAAATTACCGGTTCCGAAAAACAGCTCCAGTTCCGGAAACACTATAACGTACCATAACCGTGAATGTATAGGGCGCTATACAGGGTGAGTCTTAAATAAGTGCAAATATTTTTAGGGGTAGTATATTTTGGCCCCAGAAATATGAGGATTGTTCTGCGCAATTTTTTTTTGAAAAGAAATCTGGAATTTTTTTTAGTTTTTAGTTAAAAAAAAATAAATTCTTGATAATATGGCAACTAGGGTTCAGAACCGGAAATTCCCGGTTCTTTTAAGATATCAAAGAACCGGGACTCGAAATTATTAATTCCCGGTTCTTTCGGTTCGGTAACAATAACTAAAATATTTTTTTATTACGTGAGAAAGTAGTGAAGCTATTTCTCATTGTTCTTGCTTCTTTTCTCTTTTGAAATTTCTGTAATGTTTATTAGCAATAATTATTGAAGTTTAAATATGTTATTTTATTATATGTATAGTACAATGTGTTGTTCAATGTATTAGTTATCCAATGAAAATCACCTAATCAATATATTACTACAAAACAAACACATTAATGTTAAAATTAAACTTGTTTTAAATTAAAAAGAAGTTGTAGAAAATCTTGAAAATAGATAATAATATAAAAATATGTCATTATATATTTTTTCTGCATTCCTTCCCATCAGAAGATTTTCAGATACAGAAGAATTGTTACTTGTAGAATGTAGAATGTTTAGGAGGGGAGTTAGTCACCGCGACCTTAAAGATCTATTGTGTGTTCCCCTTTCTTCAGTTATAACGAGTTATAACTCATCATACAGTCTCAAGGCTTTAACAAAAGTCAGTATCTGAGACGGCCCCACAGAGGCTAGCTCTCCATCCTTGACATCAGCCGTACCGAAGTTCATGGCACGAATGGTCGTCGTCTCAGCGCACTCAGTGATGAAGTGTTCAGGTGTTTCCCCATATTCCCCACAGAATCTGCACTTGCCGTTGTTTCTCAGCTTCAGCCTACTGAGGTATTCGTTGAGGAGACAGTGTCCTGTTAGAAACCCCTTGAGAGAAAAGAGAATTGTTACTTACACGAAATGTGAAAATATTCTGTTTTCAATCAAATTTTTAATTGATGATCAATTTTTTTTATTTTATTTTATTGTGAACTCATATTTTCCTAAATACATCTTTGTAAAACTATGGCGAGTGTCACGACTATACTTTGCCTAGTTATAGACCACGACTATACAGCTACGTCAGTGGTCACGGGACACGAGAACAAGGTCATATAAAGTAGCAGAAAAAGAACGAAGGATTTGACAAAGAGTAAAGCTGCTAGTTTCCTTATACTATGATTAAAGACTGACAAATCCACCAAATTTTAAATCAAATTCAGATGGATCAAATGAATCATCAAACAGAACCGTCAAGGATCCCCACTTTAGGGCCCTCTCTCCGTCTACCATGCATGTATAGCATTATACTCCTTCCTTATCTTTTTATTCAAAGGTCCTTCCATAAAATTAAATCCCCAAATCAAATGACAATGACAGTTACTAAAAACAATGTGCAGAGTAATTTACGAAATGCCATAATGACGTCACCAATCTCTTTCATCTGGTTGTCAAGTGAAAGAGTTCGACAATATCTGACATGACGTTGAACGATTGCTGAACAAACAATAACTACATACTTTCCAGTCCTTCCTTAGCTTATCTATAAATTTCTCCACATCACCAAATGTAACTTCTGGACTATTCTCTTCAGTGAATAATGGATTTAGAACAAGTTGTTCGCTTAAGCTATATGAAGAATTTGATGCTCCTAATTCCTAAAACAAAGATAACATAATTATTTAAGTTTTTTTTTCGTTTTAACTTAAAATTGATTACCTGAATTGGTGTGAAATGTATGATATTATAACCTGACTCTTTAGCAACTTCCAATTTTCTTTCCCATGAAGAAAATGGACCCAGCTGTTTAGCCAGAACAGTTTGACATTGAATACAATCCAAAGGAAGTTTCTCATTATTTCCGTATGTTAAAAGCGGGTCTACTATAAAGTATCCTGAACCCTGTCTCTCTTGATCGTCGCTAAAAAATATAATAAATACATATAAAACAAAAATAAAATTACATTTTATAAACAGGGTGACCAATGTTCCAAGAGATGTGAACACTTCTCTGTGTCAGGTTTCCTATTAGAAATTTTCACTACAATCTTTGTAAAATATTCAGGCATATTTTATACAGGGTGGTCCGAACTGTATTCCGGAAACTTCGGCAGCATATTCTGCAGACAAAAATAAGTAAAAAGATTCGTATAAATGCATGTCCTAAAATGCCTAGTTTCGGAGATACAGGGTGTAGAAGTTTCATTTTATTTCGATTTTTTCCAAATAATGTCTGAAATAACGTTAATTTTGGATGAAAATTGGTGTCTGGGAGTTTTTTGACATGAGGAATTTTATTTTGATGTCAATAGGACTCCTATTTGTAGGAGGCGCCACCTACATGTGTTTTAACTGTTTTGAAGAGTAATAACTTTTCGTCGGTACCTGTATAAAACTACTGAGTGAAAAAATATACATTTCCACGATTTTTTATGTAAAAAACGTCTCTTGGTAAAAATTGTCACAAGCAACGAAAGATATTTAGAATGGAAATAGTCAATACATGTCATTATTGACAAAAAATAAACACGTTGAGTAGATGAGTTATTTGACTATAATAAATTTGGGATTTTTTTATTTTTTTAATTAATTATAATTTTTTCTGCAAAAAAATTGTGATAAAACAGTTTCTTTTGAACTTTTGGCACAAAAACATTTCAAATTTATAATTTCAGTCTAATAACTATTTAGTCAACGTGTTTAATTTATGTCAATGATGACAGGTATTGATAATTTTGATTCCAAATATCTCGAGAACCATTACTTGTAGCGATTTTTACCAACAGACCTTTTTTACGTAAAAAACCCCATCGCAAATGGATATTTTTTACTCAGTAGTTTTATACAGGTACGGACGAAAAGTTATTGCTCTTCAAAACAGTTAAAAAATATGTAGGTGGCGCCCTCTACAAGTGGGAATAATATTGTCTTTAAAATCAAATTTCTCATGCCAAAAAACTAGATATAAAAATGAAACTTCTATCCCCTGTATCTCCGAAACTAAAGCATTTTAGGACATACATTTGTACAAACTTTTTTACATATTTTTATCTGCAGAATATGCTGCTGAATTTTCCGGAATACAGTTTGGACCACTCTGTACACAGTACGATTCAAATATATTTCTACAGTAAAATTGCAAATTTTTATTAAAATTAAGTACAATATGATAAAAAAACGGCGTCAGCGATGGCTATGAGATGAAGATCAGTCACTTCATATGTAAAATTATATAGGGAATGTCATCGACGTAATTTCCAAGCCAAGTGGATGCCGTTTTTTTTTCAATCACACGGTATATTTTTTGCCGCTACTATACAAAAGATTATGCATGTTGTGTGGTAGCGGTTGCACTCATTAAACCAAAAGAAATCAGAAGAAAAAGGTCTCTCAAAAAAAAAAATATACAAGTTGTTCCATTCAAAAAAGTGAAGTAAAGAAATGAAGACAAGTTTTGAGCCGCCCCATACTGGGTGTTTCTCAAAAGTGGTTCACCCCTATAAGTTTTTACATTTTACAGAAAAAAATACGAGATTTGGTAACCGGCCAGGACAAGACGCGAAAAACATTAGACTATCAAATCTATTTTTTCAAGGCTCCTTGATTAAAAATTGGTGTTTTTAACACAGCCATTACGCTTATTTTTTTTAAGAGAAAATTTCAAAAGTTGATATCATATGATATATCCTTTTTTTCAGGGTACAATTTTCTAGCGAATGAAGTAAAGAAATACCGAGTATGCCATCTAAAAAAAAAAAAAATTTTGGTCATTTCTGGTGAAACAGGAAGTGACCAAAAGCAATGGCATACGTCAATCAATCCTAATTTATGTCATATACTAACATACCAAATCTCGTTTTTTATCTGAAAAAAATAAAAAAGTTATAGGGGTCAACCATTTTGGCAAAACACCCGGTATATACCAAGCAATTTAGCGCCTATTTTAGTATGATTAATTGGTCAACAAAACACTATCATAAAATACTTACAGTTATTATAGCATCAACTGCTGATATTTTAATTTTAAAAGAGCTTTAAATGTGTAGAATATGTAATCTAAAAATGGTTATATTTCAAAATCCACATGGTATAGATTCTGATACAATGGTATTTTTTAAATGAGAATTTTATAACAAATTCAATCAGTAAAAAAATGTACCTACTAATAAATTTATAAAAAATTAAATTTTAGTCTCAAAATATGTTTGAATCACTCTGTATATTAAGAAAATATTTTTAAAATATGGACTGAATTACCAATTTTTAACTCTATGGAATTAATACCTGATATTTATTATAATTACCTGATATTTCACAAAAAATACTAGGAAAATTTCTAAGAGAAAAATTGATTTGAAGTTTTTTACAAAATACAGAATCACCCTGTATAATTTTAAAAATATCTAGAATAAAAAAATAAAAAACAAATAAATTAATTAAAAATATTACTTACTTATTTATATTTTTTACTTAAAATATTACTAATAATAAAAACAATAAACAATAATTTTTAAAAAATATTGTTTTTTTGTCTAGAATACTCTCAGATTATTTAGAAAGTCTATAATCTATAAAGATATTATGAATGTGTGTTTTTTTCTATAGACCATTGCAACAAATTAAACCCTCAAAATCACCTTTTTATACCCCATATTTAAAATAAACTTACGCATTGTCATATACAAAGTAATAATGAAAACTTCCAGCTAGATTTGCTTCTATATAGGTGAATAAAGCTGTATCATCGGCGTTTTTACATCCCTCATCTTGACACCAATTTAATAACTGGTAAGAATCTCTGTTAAAAACTCCATTTTCTGGCGGATAATTGCAGTACAACTTGATTTTTCTGCCTAACAACGAAGGTCCCAATCTAAATTGCAGAATGAATGTCTTTTCTATACGATAAATCGTAGACTGCTGATGTTCTTTGTCGTTTAATATTAACACTCTAACTTGAGTCATGTTTGTTAGAAATAAATTTTTGGAAGCTTGATTAACTACTTGTTTAACCACACTGTTCTCTGCAACTTGTTTCGATTCAATCTCTTTAATTTTATTAGGATTATTTTCTATAAGTTGAGGTTCTAAATTTTCATCAACCTTATTTTCAACAATTTCTTCTTTAGTATTACTTGACAATTTACTATTAGTACCCTCACTAATTTGAATGAAAGACTCTATATTACTGGAACAATTTTCAGTAGAGTTACTTTGACTTTCTATCACATTAAATTTGCTTTCTTTTGACACAACTTCGAAGTCTATTGAAGAATTAAATTCTGTTATTATTGAACTACAAGCCTGATCCTCATGATTCTTTTTCTCATAATCAAATACCGTTGGTAAATAATTAAAAATAGATAAATCTATTTCAATAGCACTGTTTTCTAAAGTAGATTTCTTAAATAGAAATTCCTTTTTATTACCAAATAGTTCTGTATTTTCTTGGGTAAAAATCTCAGCATTTAAAAATTTCTCTGTATCATCAAATTTAATTTCATTATTTCCTGAAATACTCGTATCTACAAAATCGAATGCGTTCTGAATGTAATCAGTTCTATCAAATAAAGGTTGGTTCTTATGTGAATTTACATCTGCACAGTTTAAGGAATCTACTCCGTTTAATAACTGATTGGTATTTTCTTCAGATATAACAATATTTTCCTTTACTGACAAAACAGTATCTTCACAAACTTCTTTAGCTAATTCTGTATCATTTTCAAACTCCTCAGAATATTCACTTAATACTTCAATTGAACTTGAAATTTCATTATTTTCTTTTTGTTGAGTAGAAGATTCATTTACAAGAATATCTTTACTATTCTCTTCTAAATCTTTAATGTCTGAGACGGAATTTGTTAAAACACTGGCATAAGAAATATGTGAACTTACAGTTTTGCTTTTGGCTTCTGTTTTTGTATTAGCCGGTGAATTACTGATTAATACAAAACTCTCATTAACTGAAGGATTATTACTTTTTATATCTTTCTGTGTATAATGATCAATAATAGAACTTGAGACAGTAACCTTTTTTGTTATCCCTTTACTAATAACATTGTTGATAATCTCCTGAGAATTTTGTTTTTGTAATATCGCTTTACCTTTTTTACGGCTTCTTTCTTTTACAGTCACAAAGGGTTCTTCCTCGTCATTTTCAGAATTAGACAACTGTTTAGGGTTACTTATATCTTCATTCTTTGATACTTTTGGGAGTATCGGTTTATTCTTGTTTTTAACTTTCTTTTTTGTAGATGTATCTTTGTTAACAGCCTCTGAATTACATTGACTTTTCTCAGATTTTTCTACTTTCTCTTTTTTCTTTAATTTATCTCCTTTTTGCAAAGATGTTACCAAATTTTTATTTAAAGAACATTCTTCTTTTATTGTGTCTTCTAGAAAATCTTCTACAGGAGTAGATAATGTTGTATCAAATGTTGGTTCTTCCTCTTTCTTATTTTTATCTTGTTCTTGAGATATAACAGGTTCTGAGTTTTTTACTATAGGAATTTGACTACCTTCTCCAATAGAATCTTCCCTTTTTCTTGATCCAGTGATCTAAAAAAAGTAAATATATCTAACATATTTAATTTATCATCAGCATTCATATACAATAAATTATTTTTAATCTATTGATTTATGATCCTAACAAGTTAATAAAATAATTTATATTTTGAAGAACGACTTAAGATATATAAAAAATATTGGAGCAAATTACTTTGTTGTATTACGATAAAAATACTCTAGATATATAAAATACAAATCCAATAAAATTTTTACTTTAAAAGTATCAAGGTGACTTTTATAACCTTCAGAAATATAACTGTCCTATTTAAAATATATCATGAATTAAAACATTTGATTACGATGACAAGCTATGTGTCTAAAATATTCTTCGACATTTTCTTTATCACTTACGAAAATTAACATTTAATTCATGTCGTATCTTGGAATCTATTTTAAATTTTGGAAGGAATGCACAAGACAAAATGTAAACAAACAACAAATGTGACAGCAAAAATATTTTAGATTTGACACACAGTTTTGCCAAGCAGATTAGATTAAATTGAAGAGACGCTCTGTTGCCAGTTTAGAATTTAAAATATATTCCTGACTGGGATTTTATTTTGTTTCTCTGATTTCTCACTTGAATTAATTATTAGTAGTTTCGCTTTATTGTAAGTATCATTAGTAGCACAGCTTTCTTTACAAAGTTAATCTTTGTATATTTTTTACACCCCTAAAAATCAAAATTTACCTAAATATTTGAAGAGTTGCTGCATATGACAACATTGATTAGATGTTTATGTCTAGTTGTTTTGATCTGTGGTTAGTTATATAACAAAATCAGTGCTACCAATAATTTCTAACCAACAAAAAACAGCTGTTTGAAGTTTACGATAACAAAAAGTAAATGAAAAGTGAAGATGTGAAATTAAATATTACAAAGTTAACGTAAAAACTAAATTAGTAAAGAAGAAAATATGAGTGAGAATATATATGCCGTAAATCCTGTTGAGAAAGATATCGAAGCTGATACTGAAGAGCGAGAACTAGCAAATCGGATTTTCAGTGTTGAAAGTGATGATGGACTTAAACCGATAAATGCTGCAGAAAATGCGGAAATTTGGCTAAACGACGGTCACGGAACCGACGATTTAGATGGTATAGACGATGATTTAGAAACTGTAAATATAGGCAATTTTTTTCATCGAGTGGATAGTGATCAAATAATTTACCAAACGAAAAAGAAACGTTTAAAATTAATTGGAAAGTATGTTATGGGAGATTTGTTAGGAGAGGGTGCTTATGGTAAGGTTAAAGAAATGCTAGACTCGGAAACGTTGTGTAGACGGGCTGTGAAAATATTTAAGGAAAAGAAATTACGTAGGATACCGAACGGAGAACAAAATGTACAAAAGTAAGTTAAGTCTATTATTTTATATATTTGAGCTTAGTCTAACACTCTATAGAACTTATATATTTTTAAGAATAAAAAATCAACAAGAAAGTCATAAATATTAAAATAATTACTTACAGTACCAACTATCCATGCCAAAATTGCTGCCATTTTAGTTGAGAATCTGAAAATAAAGTTTGCAATTATATATAATATAAAAAAGACTTCTAAGATTTTTTTAATCATTTTTCTGCACCAAATAACTAGCATAATTACTATTGACATAAACAGTAAATTATTTAAAGAGTCTGTTCTGAACAATGTTTCTGAACTCACAACTGATAAAATCGCTTACATTACACATGTAAATATTAATGCTGTATAAATTTATTTAAAAGTAATTAAGATAAAGCTACTAAAATTCCAGTATTTTGAACTTCGGTTAGAATATTTTTTAAATTTTATATATAAATTATATTTTTGTTTATGCTTTTAGAGAAATAAGTTTACTTAGGAAATTATCCCACAAAAACGTAATACACTTAATTGATGAGTTTAGAGATCCTGAAAAACAAAAACTATACTTAATTCTAGAATTTTGTGTGGGATCCCTTCAAGGTGAGTTCAAAATTTAATATTAGTTTTATTTGTTTTTCGGTCTATAATTCGTGTTTATGATTCTTAGGTTTGTTAGACTCAGCTCCTGGTAAAAAATTACCTGCCCAGCAAGCTCACGTATACTTTGGACAATTACTTGATGGCTTAGAATACCTGCACGGAGCCAGAGTTGTCCACAAGGATATTAAACCTGGAAATCTTTTGCTAACCATGGAACAAGTACTTAAAATTTCAGATTTTGGTGTTGCTGAGGTAAGTTTTTTTATGAATTTATACGTTTTTGCAAAATGTTAAAAAATTATTTTTGATGTGATTTGATTTGAATAATTTATTAATTTCAACTTCACAATTTTTTAAGAGTTAAAATTTATTATGGAAATATGAATAACATATTTTAGAAATTTACTATAAAAATCTGCAATGAATTTAGTTAAAAATAACCAATACAGGGTGGAGCACCTCATTCGCCTCGGTTAATTATACATAAAGGAAAGATGTAGAAACACAATATTTTATGGGTGTACGTGGCAAGACGATGTGCATAATTTAAAATTATTTTGAAATGTACAGGATGTGTCAGAACTAATATCCATACCAAAGTTATATTTTTTCTTATGGAAGACCCGGTATTTTATTTCATTTTTGGATTCTAGGACATAAAATAATGCATTTATTGTAACTGTTTTGTATGTCTAAAAGCTTTGGTTTTTACATATTTAAATATGCACGCTATAAAAAAAAAGGTTGTTAACACCCTCTATATTACTTTTCGGAATTAATTCTTGTGCTGAGTTTAAAAGTAGAGAAATAAACTTTAGTGAAAAATTTGATTGCTTCGTTTAATGTATACAGGGGTATCAAAAATTGCCGGTCTCTTTTAAATGTTTATTTTACATAAAAACTTCGTTATTTTAAATGCAACACTCTCTATTTTTTTTAAATAAATCGAAGAACATTCAAATGGTCTTTCAAACTATATTAGGGTTTTCTATATCTATTTTGCTCAGATTTTCAGTAAAAAAACGATTTTCAATTAAATGGCTATCAAGATGACTTGTGTCGCCATGATAATTTTTTAGCTATTTTCAAAATCGATATTCGTTTATGGACTTAGATATTCTTTAAGGAAGCAATCAAATTTTTTAGTAAAGTTTATTTCCCTGGCATAAAAGTCAGCACTAGAACTAATTCGGAACAGTAATGTACAGGGTGGGTCAAATTCTACGGTTTTAAATGGAAACACCCTTTTCTATAGAAGATAGACAAAAACTAATATCGGTGTCTGGAGCTCAATTTTTGTCAAAAACATGATGGTGAAAACCGCATATCGATATCTGTTACCGTTTCGGAGTTACGGGGTGTTTTTCAAAAATATGCATTTTTAACAAATCGCTGTAACTTTTTTGCTATGGAAAATTTTGTATTTTTATGAAAACATTTCCAAAGCACCTTTTTACGTAGAATTTAATGGTTTAAGTATAATTTTTTTTAAATTACTAATTTAAGAGTTATCAACAAAAAAATTGATTTTTTATTTGGGACACCCTCTATATTTTTAATTAACTGAAAATAATTTAAAATTACCTTTCCAAAAATATAGCACACTTGATATTTTGTTATAATCCCCTTCGAAATACAGAATATTTAAAAGTTCGCCACTTTTAACTAGTAGGCTTTGGACCCCTTATTGATGATATGCCCTTAATGGACGAAACATATTTTGGCTCGAAAACATATTTTTCCAGCAAGACGATGCACCGCCTCAGAATGCTGAAGTAATCAGCAAATTTTTGCAGCCAATTTCAAGAATAATTGAATAGCTAACCAAGATCCCAGCCGTTGGCCGTCGAGGCCGCCTGACTTAGTGCCCATGATTAGATCCATGGGGATCCTATGGATATATCTGCGGAAGAATAAAGGTTTCTTATCCGTATTTTTCTTATCCTTATCGATTATAATTCCGTATAGTCTAGACAACAATTAGAAATACTTAGCAGTTATGAGAGGGTATCTTTCACCCCCAATGAGTTAATGAATTCCGCGAGAAATGTTCAAAAACGGCCTCAATTCTGTCCATAACAGAAGACTGTCGATATGTCGAACACCTGTAGCAAAATCTCATGTCTTGGTTTGCTATTTATTTTTATTGTTATTAGATATAGTTTAAATGTGTTGATGTTGGTTAAATATATTTTAAATTGTTATAAAATTCTGCATCTCTCATAGCAAATATTATTTTCGTTTTAATTGATTCTCACAGCTAGAATTTTTTTCCATTACAGCCGGTGCTGTTCAAAGCCTATATACTTATTTAAAGCGGGCGAATTTTTATATACTCTATATCTCGAAAAGGAATCGAGCAAAATATCAAGTGTGTTATATTTTTGGAAAGGTAATTTTAAATTCTTTTCAATAAATTAAAAATATACAGGGTGTCCCATATAAGAAATCAAATTTTAAAAAAAAATAAAAAAATATATACTTAAACCATTAAATTCTACGTAAAAAGGTGCTTTGGAAATGTTTTCATAGAAATACAAAATTTTCCATAGCCAAAAAGTTACAGCGATTTGTTAAAAATGCACATTTTTGAAAAACACCCCGTAACTCCGAAACGGTAACAGATATTGATGTGAGGTTTTCACCATCTTGTTTTTGATGAAAATTGAGCTCCAGACACTGATATTAGTTTTCGTCTATCTCCTATAGAAAAGGGTGTTTCCATTTAAAAGCGTCGAATTTGACCCACACTGTACAGGGTGGTAAAAACTTTTTTTATTATAGCATGATAGCATGATTTAGCATGCGTATTTAAATATCTCAAAAACCAAGGCTTTTAGACATATTAAATCTTTATAATAGATGCCTTATTTTATGTCCTAGAATCCAAAAATGAAATAAAATACCGGGTCTTCCATAAGAAAAAATATAACTTTGGTATGGATCTGATACACCCTGTACATTTCAAAATAATTTTAAATTATGCACATTGCCTTCCCACATATACTCATAAAATATTTTGTTTCTACATCTTTCCGTTTTTGTATAATTAACCGAGGCGAATGAAGTGCGCCACCCTGTATAAGTTTTTTGTCATATTTTTGTCTACAGATTGTCTTTACAAGAGGAAAATACATTTTTATTATTAATATTTCGACAAAAATGGATTCTTGGAAAAATAAAAAAAATATGAAAATATGGTTGAATGAAGTCCTAAAAATCGAAACGCGATTCTATGGTTGTCTATGGTAATATAATTTTGTTTTCACTCTTTGATGAATTGTTATTGATAGAATTTTAATTAACGTCATATTTTAAAATGTTAAAGAAGCACAAAATTTATTTAGATCAATGTGACAGAAAGGGTGATAATAGTTATCACAAAGTGTGAAACTTCTGAATATGACGTTAATCAAAATTAATAATTACCATCTATCCAAAGAATGAAATCGAAATTGAATTACCATAGAAACGCTTTTTGATTTTTAGGGCTTCTTTTTTAGGAAAAGGTTTAGAAATCTGGAAAAGTATAAACGGGATTAACCATTTTAGAACAAGCAAATTTCTTTTATCAAGAATGCATTTTTCTCAAAATGTTAATAATAAAAATAAAGTTTTTCCTCTTTTAAAGAAAATCGGCCGATATACTGTATATTAATGATTATAAAGATTTTTTATTGTTTTGTTATTAGAAGAAAAATATAAGAACAATCTAACTAGTTTCAATTTATTACATTAATAATAGTGTAATATGTAACTGTTTCACCAAAGCAGATTCAATTTTTTGTTCATTCAAAATGTTTTATAAAGCACAAATGCAAAAAAGTGAGATTATTATTTTATTAGTGCTGCGATAAATCATTTGAACTATCCGAATAAACTGTAACTTATTAGACGTTATTTCTACAACTTGGTAGAAAATATTATTTAAGAAAATCTAAATTTTTACAGAAAAAAATGAATTGCATATATTAAATATTTAATATATACTATAAAAGTGTTGGAAATTATTAAACACGTCTACATTCTACATAATTATCTACATTTAGTGCAAAATCAATATACCGAGTGTTTCTCAAAAGTGGCTCACCCGTATAATTTTTTTATTTTTTCAGAGAAAGAAACAAGACTTGGTATGCTAGTATATGATATAAATTAGGATTGATTGCCGTATTCAATTGTTTTCAGTCACTTGCTGTTTCATCGGAAATAACTACAAGTTTTGATTTTTAAAAGGCACCCTCGCTATTTTTTTATTCAATAGAAAATGATACTCTGAATAGAATGACATATAATTTGTCAACTTTTGACATTTTCGCTTTACAAAATTGTATTTTAAATTTTAATCTAGAGTGCCATGGGTGAGTTAAAAACACTAATTTTTAATCAAGGAGCCTTGAAAAAATAGATTTGATCGTCTAGTGTTTTTCGTGTCTTGTCCTGGTCGGTTAAAAAATTCCCAAATCGTATTTTTATCATATCTCAATTTTTTCAAATGAGAACGAGTGTGGCTCATTAGCATATTTAGAAAAGCATTTTTTTACGAATAATTGTTTGATACCACACACTTGGTATTTCAAGTCAAATTTTCGTTATGAACCGCAAGTTATAATTTCAAATAAACCATATGCGAAAATGTCAAAAGTTGACATGATATGTCATTCTATTCAGAGTGTTATTTTCTATCAAATAAAGTAAAAAAATACCGAGGGTGTCATTTAAAAATCAAAAGTTGTAGACGTTTCCGGTGAAAGAGGAAGTGACCGAAAACAATTGAGTACGTCAATCAATCCTAATTTATGCTAATATCTGAAAAAATAAAGTTATAGGAATCAGCCACTTTTGATATCATTCTGTTGGGCTGATTTTGGTGATTTTTTAAATAATTTGTAGCTGAATTATTTCACTTTTTATTATTTCACTCTTTAAGTTAAAAATTAAAGTTCCCATCCCTCTGTTATACAAAGTAAAACAAAGCGATATTATTTTGGCGAAAGTTTGAACACCCTTTGGAACGGTTTAACAAAGCAAGGGATTTAAAACCCACTTTATTATCAAGGTACATCTTTCCTCAATAGTTTATTTTTTGATGCTTGTGCTTTTGGTCTTCATTAACACACCTATGAAATAATGTTTATTGTTTTTGTAATGTCACTATCATTGAAAAGTCATTGGATAAAATTATTTTTGTTTGATGACTGTTACACAGGGTTAGCAGAGGTGGTTTTAAGTCCAGAAGTTTTATGAGCTATTGTAGATTTAATTGAACGTGACAGATCACCTTCTAGATTTCAAACTACCTCTCCTGTGTAACTGCCAACACAAACAACAATAATATGACTTTCCAATGCCAATGAGATTAGAAAGAAAATAATCATGGTATCATAAGTGTGTTGATGAGAACGAAAAGCAAAGACCATTAAAAATAAAGCTATTGAGATGAATCAAAAACATAAACTATCGAGAAAAATATTCCTTGATGATGAAGTGGTTTTTAAACCCCTTACATTGTTAAACCATTCCACAGGGTGTTTCAAACTTTCGCCAAAATATCAATATTTTGTTATCAACATTTGTATAATAAACGGGTAATTTAATTTTTAATTTAAAAGAAGGCTAAAGAATCAAATAAATTAGCTACAAATCTCTTAAAAAAACATCAAAATAGGCCCACCAGAACAAAAATAATTGTACTGTAAACTACATGAAAATTTTAAGTTCTCTTATTTTCGTGCCAGTCAAATAAACACTGAGTATTTTATGTTATATGTTTTTAGTTAGAAAAAGACTATGATTTAAACTAGTTTTAATTTCTTACATTAATAATAAACGTTTCATCTAGCAGATTGCATATTTAAAATATTTTCTGAAGCACAAATCAAGGTAATATTGGTATTTTATTGATACTACGGTAAATACACTAAAACACAAACACTATTCAGTTGAACTCTTCAAATAAACTGTAGCAATTCAGACGTTTTTTCTACAGCCTGGTGAAAAAAAACTTCCTGATAAATTTAGTCGCACTGAAGTGTCACATTACCTTAGCAAAAGTAACAAAATAGCGGAACCGGACAGAACCGACACGGCTAAAGACCAGTTCATAGCTTTATTTATTTCCGATTAATTCCACTACACATTGCTTCTGTACACTACAGCAACAGTTACGACCATTTATATGCCAAAGGTCAATACGTGATATTCAAAATTCTTTTTCTTTCTCAAATGTATGCTTCAAAATAAACTTGAAATGTAGCAAACCGTTTCGCGAACGGACAAAGGAACAGAAGTATTTACAGAAATATCTTTTTTTGATATCGCCGAATTTTTTGTTGGTTCCATACCAGTTTTGGATCATTTAATTTTAGATGATATAGGGTGAATAAAAAAAATAACCATTTTTACGCTTACTTTTCCAAATAATATTAATGTTTCATATTTATAAAACTATGTATATTTAAAATTTATTACAATACAGTTAATCATGCTGAACCATTAATAAAACCTATCAAAGGGTAATAAACCATAAAATGAGGTAAAGTAGTGTTATTCTTTAATATCTCTAAAATGCTTGGATAATGCGGAGTTTAGCAGCTCCTTGGAACGTGTTCAAATCATGATTTCTGTTGTTCCATCGTGTACAAGAATAAATGACAATCACTATTTAATACCAATTTAAGTGTGGCGACTTGACGTCCTCGCGATAAGATATATTAACGGTCAATATTTTATTTTGATTTATCAAAGTTTGATTATATTAATGATATTATTATTTATTTTTAGAATATTTTGTTTTATTTCTGATAAAGTGCACTTATTTTGATATACTATTCTCATTTTTTGACTAACTTATTATCTTTTCTACATTTTTTAGATAATCTATTTACACCGAGATGCAAAAAAACAACGAAAAAATGTTTTGCCAAATTTAAAGTGTTGTATTTTTTCCATTTTTAGCCCTATTTTTATAATTTTTTAGCAAACCGTTTGTAAATACAGGGTGTCCTAGAAATAAGTGCAAGCATTTTAAGGGGCGGTAGATCTCGACAAAAGAAAGATATTTTCTCTTTATGGTTCTTCAAATAAGTCCAAAATAACGTGAGTTATTTCACTTTGAAAAAAAACATCCAAAAAATAATCATTTTTTGCTAAAATTTTGAGAACCACTGGATCTTTTCTGGATTTTCTTTCTTGTAGATTTAATCTACTACCTATGTTGCCATATTATAAAGAAATTATTTTTTTAAATAAAAACTAAAAAAATTTCAAAAAATTCCGAACTTCCGGTATTTTTTTTCGCGAAAAAAATCTCACAGACGTGTTTCGGGGGTTGAACTATACTACCACTTAAAATATTTGCACTTATTTCTGGGACACCCTGTATATCAACTTGAATTCCTAAACTCAGATTCTTATAAACTTTAGTATTTGGCTAATTATACAGAGTTATTGGAAAGGTTGGTTTTTATCTTAACTTTAAAACACCCTGTGCAATAATTTCGTGTGTAAATTTTCCTAGCACATTATTTTTCAGTTAGAGCCATGCTTCGTAAGCATTTTGTTTTTGACTCATGTCAAGACATGGCTTTTTAATTTGTAAGAGCGAAATGAACTTGTCACCAACAATTTTTATGTTTTCAATTATCATTACTTTTTGATGTTATTTTTCAAGAAGGCGAGGTGACTTTGGTGAGTATTGTGAACTATACACTACTATGAACTGGCCAGTATGTTCGACAAATCTGACCTCTATACAACAGATTTGGGACATGTTTGGCAGGAGGGTTAGAGGTCGCGAAGTGGCATCCAGCTTTATTAAATGAACTTGAAGAAGAATGAGAAAAAATAACATAATATGACATTTACAGGTAGTTACAGCAGGCAGATTTTTTACATTCTTTTTTCTGTTTGTGTGCTTGTAGAATATATAATGTTTAGGAGGGGAGTTAATCACCGCGACCTTACAGATCTATGGCGCGTTCCCTTTTTTGAGTTATAACGAGTTATAACAGCGCTTTCAGATGGGGTGGAGCGTCCGCGACTACGAGCAAGTACCATGAGTTTATATGAACAATTTCACATGGCTCGCGTATGCTCCGTCCGGATGAGCTATCTTAAAAAAACGGTCCGCTCCATCTGAGAGCGCTGTAACTCATCAAACAGTCTCAGGGCTTTGACAAAAGCCAGTATATGAGACGGCTCCACAGAGGCCAGCTCTCCATCTTCGACATCAGCCGTACCAAAGTTTATGGCACGAACGGTTCAGAACGGAATAGTCACCGTTGTTTCTTAACTTCAATCTACTGAGGCGTTCATTGAGGAGACAGTGTCCTGAATCCGAAGATTGTTCTTGGTTCAATCAAGAAAAATCTTTGATTTTTCTCGATTGTAAGTTCTGAGAAACTTTTTCGAGTGTTGGACGACCGTTGGAGGATTTCCATTCGAGGTTGCGCATGGAGTCTTCCAGATTCTTGAGTTTCGCTTTAAGATGGTTTCCGCTTGGAGAGCAGAGCGGTTCTGGTTCAAATAGTGGAGTGTTCGCTCCTTTTCTAGCTAGATAGTTTACTTTTTCATTGCCTACTATTCCTTGGTGAGCGGGCATCCAGAGTAGGAGGACTGTATTTTCTTTGCTTGTTTTGTGTGCTTAGTTATTACAATTATGTTTTCTATAATATCGTTACTTCTGTTATTGTTATTAATGTTTGTTAAAACTAAGACTGTATCGTTACTTTTTAACGTCTTTTTTAATTTAGTATAGTGTATTACAGTTGGGGGTTGGAACCTTTTACATAGCAAAATAAAACTACTACTACTGCCATTACTCGCTAACGAGTATTTGACACGCATCAGAAGATGGTTACGCAAGGCTTTCCTGTCATGAGCTTTTCTGTGACTGAAAAGCCCGATACTTGATGTTATCTCTCTTCCGCACTCCGGACATTCAAAAATCTCATTACTTTGTTGCCTCTTTACTTTTTGGTTGTCGTTATTAACTGAATTTACAATTCTCCTCCATTGCGTTCTATTGTGCGCTGCTTCCTCCCACTGATGCTGCATACTTATCCCCTTTAAATTTTCATGAAAAACATCCTTGTATCTTTTGAGTTGTCCACCCTGTTTTCTCTTACCCTCTACAAGTTCACCGTAAAGAAGAGATTTCGGTAGGCGGTTTTCTTGCATCCTGCATACGTGGCCAGCCCATCTTAAGCGAAATTTAGTAATCATGACTTCAGCGCTCTCGCAGCTTGTTTTTCAAGGACTGATACGTTTGAGACATGGTGGTACCATTTGATAAAATAAAACACTAAATCAATAAGCAAGCAAAATAAAACACTAAATCACCACAATACACCAAAAGTCTAATCATCTGCTAATGATGCTAACATGGTTAGCGAAACGCACGTCCAGTGTAAAAGTAAAAGTGTTTTGGTGTATTGTGGTGATTTAGTGTTTTATTTTGCGTAGTATAGTGTATCTAACGCGCCGTTAATATGATTTTACAACAAAAATCACTAAAGTTACCTATCACCTTAATGTAAAGAATTGATATGAATATGAAAAAGTAATGATTGAAAAAATTGCAAATTGTTGGTGGCAAATTCATTTTGCTCTTAAAAATTAACCAAAACGTGTTCACATGATCCAAAAAACAAAATACACGGTTCTGGTCGAAAAATAATGTTTTAGGAAAATTCGGTGATGAAATTATTGCACATGGCTTACGTTTCGTCGCCCGTATACACGCGCCTAGTAAGCCTGTTATTTTTGTCGGTCTTTTCTAAGACCAAGTTTCGAGCCTAAAGTTTATAAAAAACTGACCTTACGAATTAAAGTTGATATATTTATATGAATTAAACATTAAAACAAATATAACACATTAAATTTGACGAAAAAATTTTCCGATGCGGTTTTTTTTCATCTGAGTGTAGAAATTTTCTAATACATCTTTTACAAATATTTCAAATATGATTTATTCAGATAATTGTCGGTTATTAGTTACCATTAATAACTCGTCAAAATAATAGTCTGTCAAAAACGGGAAGATGCCTGACAGTGACAGTCTGCCTTTTTAATTCACATTCAAATTGTATGTGAATTAATTGTTATTTTTTGAATGTCGTCTCTCGAAATATTCCAACATAGTCTATGGCAAAAATTCTCATTTTCTGATAATAAAGTCTAGTAAAAATACGTCTCCTTAATCGTTTCAAAATATTTTCATGAAATAATATAAAAGAATACATAATTACATTTTAGCAATATCGCTAAATCAGCATAAAACGTCATAAATATTAGGTTATTTGACAATAACACACTATTGACGGCAGTTCTGTTTTGTTTTTGTTGATACAAACATATTTTCGTACAAATATCACTTTAGTGTGAACTCGATGTTAAAATGCAATTAAAATCAGCGGCGTCTCATGCATTCGATACTAAAGAGTTGCATAAAAGTACCTACTTAGAATTGAATAGAATAATAACAGAAAAAATAAATGCATATACGGGACATACAAACTGACGCATTTTTTGTAATGGGATATCCTGTAAAAATAATTTAGATCAACTCTATTGCTGCTAGAATTTTTTTAAGGTTTTTTGTAAGTGTATGGTAGAGCTGAACTGGAAAAATATTAACAAAATAGACCATAATTCTCCAACAACCTAATATCAATGTTGAAAAACAAAATATGCTGTAAATGTGGTATATATTTAAGAATTACAAGATTGAACAAAAAACAGTGGTGGCTCGTGATTTCTGAAGGACCACCCTCCTTCACAACCTTTCACTGTGGAGAAATCAATAAATGATGTCATTAATGAAAATCAAATTTATATAAATTGATTTGGCTTTTGACAATAAAATTTAAATGTAATGCAACGTTATTTTTTTATCAATCATTAAACTCAAAAAAAATGCACAAACGTACGGGGCGATCAACAATGATTGACATTATTGGCTATTCTGATATTGTCCATTTGGTTGGCAATAAATTTAAGAAATTCGTATATTTATTGATAGAGATAAATTGTTGGTTTTTCGATATCTTAACAATTCTTTTTTTTTTCAGTCTATAGATTTTTTTGCCAAAGATGATACATGCTATATAGGGCAAGGATCGCCTGCTTTTCAACCGCCAGAAATTGCCAATGGTGCGGATAGTTTCCCTGGTTTCAAGGTCGACATTTGGAGCTGTGGAGTCACACTGTATGTTTAATTTTTCTATATTATTTTCACTCATTCACAAAACACACATTTGCGATCTGAGAGATTTCGGTTTTTGACAAAATCGACAGGGGGGTGCCGAGGAATGTTTTCGAAAAATTTTGAAAAATCGATTTTGCTTATTTTGTAATATGTTGTAGCGCTGAATGTGTACTTTACAAAAACGGTATCGTTTTTGAGATTCACACCTTTTGTTCCAGAGATATTTGGTGTTAAATGTTTCGAAAAACAGAAAAAAATATTTCTTTTGTAGATTTTCTCAAATAACTCGAAATCTGTTAGAGATATCGGAAAACGGTTTTCGATAGTAAATTCTACATAAAATGAACTATCAGTGGGTATATTTTAGTTGCGATCTGAGAGATTTCGGTTTTTGACAAAATCGACAGGGGGTGTCGAGGAATGTTTTCGAAAAATTTTGGAAAATCGATTTTGCTTATTTCGTAATATGTTGTAGCCCTGAATGTGTACTTTACAAAACGGTATTGTTTTTGAGATTCACACGTTTTGTTCCAGAGATATTTGGTGTTAAATGTTTCGAAAAACAGAAAAAAATATTTCTTTTGTGGATTTTCTCAAATAACTCGAAATCTGTTAGAGATATCGGAAAACGGTTTTCGACAGTCAATTCTACATAAAATGAACTATCAGTGAGTATATTTTAGTTGCGATCAGAGAGATTTCGGTTTTTGACAAAATCGACAGGGGGGTGTCGAGGAATGTTTCCGAAAAATTTTGAAAAATCGATTTTGCTTATTTTGTAATATATTGTAGCGCTGAATGTGTACTTTACAAAAACGGTATCGTTTTTGAGATTCACACCTTTTGTTCCAGAGATATTTGGTGTTAAATGTTTCGAAAAACAGAAAAATATATTTCTTTTGTAGATTTTCTCAAATAACTCGAAATCTGTTAGAGATATCGAAAAACGGTTTTCGACAGTCAATTCTACATAAAATGAACTATCAGTGAGTATATTTTAGTTGCGATCAGAGAGATTTCGGTTTTTGACAAAATCGACAGGGGGGTGTCGAGGAATGTTTTCGAAAAATTTTGAAAAATCGATTTTGCTTATTTTGTAATATGTTATAGTGCTGAATGTGTACTTTACAAAAACGGTATCGTTTTTGAGTTTCACACCTTTTGTTCCAGAGATATTTGGTGTTAAATGTTTCGAAAAACAGAAAAAATATTTCTTTTGTAGATTTTCTCAAATAACTCGAAATCTGTTAGAGATATCGGAAAACGGTTTTCGACAGTCAATTCTACATAAAATGGACTAGCTGTTTGCATATTTTAGTAGCGATCTGAGAGATTTCGGTTTTTGACAAAATCGACAGGGGGGTGCAGAGGAATGTTTTCGAATACCGTGTAATATGTATAATTATTAATACGCTATGACATTATTTTGATTTAACAATACGCATCTTAATTGTATATTATATTAATATTAAACAAGATTTCGCAAGAAAAAAACACAAAAAACAATTATTTACTTTTTAAATCTTACTGTACTTTTTTACTTACAAAAACTGAGTATTGCGCTACTGAACGTGGAAACTAACAACCCACTTATAGTTTTGACAGTATCCCTACCCTCTCCCTGTCTTTGCTTATTATGTCTTCCGTAAATTTTGGGTAATGTTCTGCTATGAACTTTTCACCTGTCTCTAATGTAACATTGCTATACTGATCCAACATTGCTGAGTAATTTATAACACGCATACACTCCCACACTAGTTTACAGTTGATCTCAGTTGATCTCTGTGGAATCAAGTGACTTTAGCGCTGCCATCAGTGAAGATGGCAACTGAACAAAATGTTCTTTCCTGCATTATTGATTCTTCTACACAATAATGTATTGCCGTTATTTGCGTCTCAAAAAATACGGAGAATACTATTCCATTTTTCAGCCCTACTATTCTAGCTACGCCCTCCGACGTTCCAGGTTGCTTCAGCTTGAATGGTTACATTTATCCAGTCTTTTCTGCCTGATATAATTAAACTTAGGGATTACTGAAACCCTAACCTTAAGTAATCAAAGAAAACAATTACTCACCAAAATCCAATTGGTGGCGTTTATTTCTATATATTTTTTTAATCTGTTGTAGGTATAACATAATGACAGGAAAATATCCGTTTGAAGGGGATAACATTTATAGGCTGTTTGAAAATATAGGAAGGGGAGATTTTGAAATACCAGATGATATACAAGATCCCCTTAGAGATCTTCTTTTAGGAATGCTTAGAAAAGACCCATTAGAACGATTTAGTTTACAACAAATTAGACAGCATCCGTAAGTAAATGTTTTAATAAATTTGTAATGTTTCACGTATAAATTATTCAGTTATACACTATAAGAGAATGGAAAGATAATAGCATAGTTATACACCTGTATAATATCGCCGATTATGATAAAAATAAACTGAAAATTGAATAGTACTATGAAATTGTATCACTTATTATTTATTAATAAATAAAATTATATAAGAGTTTCTTGCCTTGAACTGCTAATATAAGAAATTAATTCCACGCTGTGTTCGACATAATGTGGATCAACCTGCTCTCACTACCGGTTTCGGGGCCCTACCCCATCATCAGGTGAGCTTGGGTATTTCCACAATATGTCGAGCACAGCGCAGAGTATATAAACACGACTTGTCGATCCACATTATGTCGAACACAGCGTGGAATTAATTTCTTATATTAGCAGTTCAAGGCAAGAAACTCTTATATAATTTTATTATATACCTAAAAACTGCAAGAAATTTATTTTCCATTATTTATTAATAAAGTTTATTGATCCACGGGTAGAGCAAGAATAATACTTTTTTTCGGCACCTAGTTAATTTAAATCGGTTCATCCAAAACAGATTGTTTAAAACAGACAGTTAGGCTTAGCCGGTCACCTGGTATATTTTAGAAAAATATGATGAAGTCCAATACCGACCACAATTTCGCAATTAGCGTAAACGTTATTTTAACATTTACGTTGGTTTAATTTATAGTTGGTTAGAGGTTTTTCAGTTGGTTTTAGGTGAAGTATTTTTTCATAGTTTTAGATATATTTTATTTTTAATTAAGGCAAGGAAAAAATGCAAACAAGAAAGACAATAATTTATGCATTTAAATGCATCAAATGTTACCAAAAATGCACAAAATATTGAAAATATGCAACTATTTTGAATAATATTATGTCTTTTTTTAATTTTTATGTTAGGAATTTTGATAAGAATGAAACTTTTGGAAAATTTGGTAAAATTAAAAAAAACATATTTTATTCGTTTCATTCAATTATACATAATTAATAAAAAAAATAAAATGGTTAATAAAACTACGGAAAACAGTATATTAAACATAAAACATGTCTTACAATAATTGTAAAAATAATTAGCTTCTAAGTTTTTTTTTCAGTTTTCTACATAGATAAAGGAAACAAGTTTAGATTGGAAAGTGCCCATAAGGACAATGTAAACACTATTTGGCACTATTCTTGCAACTGTCGTGACCTAAAGCTTTTGATAATTTCGGATCGGTTCGGCTTTTTCCGGAATTATGTCGCCAAATATTGTTTATTCAAATTTATTATTATTTTCTTTAAATTTTATAAATAAAATACAGTGTGTTACATACAAGAAACTTTATTTTATATAAGGACATGTATGTGAAATACCTATGAAACATTGGAAACCGACGTTATGCCACGATCTACGATGGTTTTTGCAGTTCACAGTTTACAACACAGTTTTTTAGTTTTTAATGCCACTTTTTCACAATTACATGGGTTAAAGTAAGTAAAATTTAAATTAAACTCACAAGATAGCAATAATTACTTTGAGAATGGACGCTTTAAACAGTTTTAGGTATTTTTTCAATGAGGGCGGTTTAAATTTTGAAAATTTTATAATTTTTGCAGATTCTGACTTTTGACAAGAGAAAATTATTTCTGTTATTGTTTGGCGATTGTTCTAGCAACCACTATAGCAGCGCTAGATCGCGTACAACGGTCGCGACCCAAAACAATTATATATTTTGACGGGCTTTCCAATCTAAATTTATTTCCTTTGTTTTCTAGAATATTTTTTTTTGTTTGTCAGTTTGACTGTCATCAGGCAGTCAGACTTTATTATTTGAGGAGCAGACTTTCTTGATGCATTTTGTCCATTTTTTTCGAATTTTTCAAACAAAGAAAAACTGGCAGGCTTTTTGCAAGAAACTTACCGAAAAATTAGTATATTTGAAAATGGATAAAAAATCATAAAAATAGTACACCTACATGTGAAAAATCTAACTTTGATTATATCTGAAAAAATTGAAAAAAACTGTTGACTGTTCGTTACAGCACTTTCAGATGGAGCGGAGCGTCCGCGTGTTTTTTCAAGATAGCCGTCGGACGAAATCATCCGGACAGAGCATACGCGACCCTTGTGAAATTGTTCATATAAACTCATGGTACTTGCTCGAAGTCGCGGACGCTCCGCTCCATCTGAAAGCGCTGTTAGACGTGAAATTTCTCTTTATTTTTCTCCTATCACGGTCAATATTCCCAACTATATGGTCCGAAGTTGTAGTTCCATTCGTTATTTTAAGTACTATTATTCAAAAAATAGAGAAGTTGTAGTACAAACAAAAAACTCTTCATCTGGCAATGACAAACAGCAGTGTCCACAGCACACAAGGAGATACTTCTGTTTGTTAGTCTACCGCCAATGGACATACAGCACATTGGACATACACACAAGTCTAAGGTAGCATCGTTAGAAATATCAAAATAACGCATGGCGTCTTCCTTATGTAATTAGGGACACGTGATAAAGTTATTAGCATATATTTATAATAATATATGGTTAATAGTCCATTTACACAATGAGTGGAAAGTGAAGCCAAACAAATGAAATGGGAATATCAATCTTGCATAAGTCTATCCTTTTTGTTCAACACGATTTTTATGCACACGCCCCAAATAAAACGATCTGATTCGTTTACTTCATCGCTGTCACCTGACCGCGCACTGTTTTAAACTTTAATGTATATAATATATTATTTTTTTGTAATGGCATTATTTCAACCTGTTATTTTAGATATTCTTGAAATATAGATAAAAATAATAATATCTATCCGTTTCTTGTCTTTCTTTAAATATTTCAGAGATTAAATTTAAATCGGTAAGGCGAAAATTTAAAAGTAAAGGCGCGAACAGAAGACGCTAACTTGATTTACGTAGTAGATAGAAACCCTGAAAACTACTTATGTTGGTTAGTATGAAAATAAATCAACTAATCGCGAAGCACTTTTCACGCTTGCGTAGTTCAAAACTGTTGAACCAAAAGGACCGACTTATGGTGGATTTTGCATAGCTCCATATCAAAAATTTAGCTTCAATTTCTGTGCCTGGCTAGCCATATATAATCTTTAAATATATTTGGTTATTAGTATATGTACGAGCCCTAACAACTAAATGTTCGGACAAACAAAAATTTATTAAAAATTTTTATTTTCATTAACTGAATTATTTACATTTAAGAAATATATTAAAATCTAACATTTCTAATGAGTATTTAAATAGTTTAGTTTCTATAAACATTAAAATAAAATGTAGGCCAATAAATAAACAAAAAGATTGCACAATATCGTGACAACTAAATGTTCGGACACTTTAAAAAATAACTGTTCTAATATGGCGTTTCATCGGCATGAACTTTTGCAACCACTGCAAGCTTGTTTGGCATTGTTTTTATTAATGACTGACATACGCCAGAGTAAAAATTTTGCCATAATTCACTTAATATCATCGTCAAATGGGCAACGGTTTCTTGGGGATCGTGGCACAACTTTTGTTTTGTTTTATGCCACATGTCTCGATAACATTAAGGTCCGGACTGTGCGAAGGCCATGAGGGGACCTTGATGTTCATGTCCCTAAACCATTTTTTAGTAGTTTCAGCTGTATGGCATGCCCTGCCATCATGTTGAAATATAAAATTATTGTCCTGGTCTTTACCAGAACAATTGGTTACAAGGACCTTTGTCCTTCCCACTTGACACAAGAATATTTTTCAAAATTTTTTGATTTTTTGACGCATCAATTATGCCTTCTACCACCTCATACTTTTCTGGCCCTATTTTGGACATACTCCTTCAAATATTAATACCTTTAGGAAATTTCACTGTCCTCTTTTGAGGGAATCTTTATGAAATAGACACTCTAGCGGTGTTAATTATATCGATATTAAGGTGGCTCGTGTGCACATGTAATTCGTGCACTTGCCATTTGCGATTGGAATTATTAGCGTCGGATTGGGAAATAATTAAATATTTTACCTTAATGTCATTTTTGTAGTTTGTGACATCAGAAGTTCCAATCCGACGCTGATAATACTAATCGCAAATTGCAAGTTCAAGGATTACATCTGCACGCATGCATGATCTTTATGAAAAATGGACAGTGGAATTTCCTAAAGACATTATGCTTTTAGAGTTTATGTCCGCAATGGGTCTAGGAAGGTATGAGGTGGTAGAAAGGCACAACTAATGTGTCAAAATATCAAGAAATTTTGAAAAACAGTTTTGTGCCAAGTGTGAGAGACCTTTACTAGGATATGAATTTTATATTTCAACAGGATGGCGGGGCATGCCATATGGCTAAAACTACTAAAAAATGGTTTAGGGACATCAACATCAAGGTCCCCTCATGGCCTTCGCACAGTCCGGACCTTAATGTTATCGAGACATGTGGCATAAAATAAAACAAAAATTGTGCCACGATCCCCAAGAAACCGTTACCCATTTGACGATGATATTAAGTGAATTATGGCAAAATTTTTACTCTGGCGTATGTCAATCATTAATAAAACCAATGCCAAACAGACATGCAGCGGTTGCAAAAGTTCATGCTGATGTAACGCCATATTAGAACAGTTAATTTTCATTTAGTTGTCACGATATTGTGCTATATTTTTGTTTATTTATTGGCCTACAGTTTGTTTTAATGTTTATAGAAAAACTATTTAAATACTCATTAGAAATGTTAGATTTTAATATATTTTTAATGTATTTCTTAAATGTAAATAACTCAGTTAATGAAAATAAAGGTTTTTGACAAATTTTTGTTTGTCCAAACATTTAGTTGTTAGGGCTCGTATATGACACTTGAACTGCCAATGTTGTCAAAATAGCACCTCCCCTTAATACCGTATATCGTTACTATAACTCTCGAGTTCCCATCATTTCCCATGACAGGGACATTGACAATCCATGATCCAACTAAAAATTCGTCGTTTTTTTAGTGTTTCAGTTTACTTTGTACAGAGTATTATTATACGACTAAAATTAGTTTATTTACAGATGGTTGACCAGGAAACCACCTCCTAGCGAATATACAGTTCGAATACCGCCGCTGAAAAACGACGAACTGCACAATATGACAGTATTACCCTACTTAATCGATCATTATTATGGTCCTGGAACGTGTTACGACGAGGACGGCAATGTGACCTACGAGGAACCCGAATACTTCACAGAAAGAGAACTTAATGGTAATGCTGTATAACCAGATATATTTTAGTAAAAGTCGAATGGTAGTAGATGTAAGTGTAAAGGGTGTTGGCTTGTATTTTTGTAAGGCTTGATAATAGATGCAATGAGACAGTATGTACTTTTAAAATGCATTATAGATGATTTTTTAGTATTTCGTGAATGTTGAAGGTAACAAATTTGTTTAAAGATTGATAAAAAGCTATGGGAGACTATAAAAATTGAATTTTATATTTGCGTTGATATGGCAGCAAAGTAAAAATTTAGATGAAATGTTTGTTGCATTTTTACATCATTATATCATAGTACTAGCAGCATTTACATATCGTCCCATTGCTGCCAAAAGTCACTAACTCACTTTTTATCACTTCCGAGAAAAATGCGTCTAAAGATATAGTTAGTAACTATTCGGTATTAAAATAAAACATAAATAGCCAGAAATCGTAGTTAATGACTTTTGCAATCGATTCTCCGCTTCAAAACATAGTTAGTGATTGAATTTGGTTGTTCGGAAAAATGTTAGTTAGTGACTTTTGGCAGCAATAAGACGATATATTAATAATCAAGCCAGAGTTTGCCCAACTAGACATACAGGGTGGCGCATCTCATTCGCCTCGGTTGATTATACGAAAACGGAAAGATGTAGAAAAAAAATATCTTATGGGTATATGCGGGGAGACAATGTGCACAATTTAAAATTATTTTGAAATATACAAAGTGTTTCAGAACTAAGATCCATATCAAAGTTATATTTTTTTCTTATGGAACAGCCGGTATTTTATTTCTTTTTTGGATTCTTGGGACCAAAAAAAGACATTTATTATTAAGGGTTAAATATGTTTAAAATCTTTGATTCTTGAGATTTTTAAAGATATTTAAATATGCATGCTACAATAGAAGAGATTATTAACACCCTGTACATTACTTATCAGAATTAATTCTTGTGCTGAGTTTATAGGTAGAGAAACAAACTTTACTGAAAAGTGTTACTGCTTCCTTAAATTTATACAGGGGTACCAAAAATTGCTGATCTAGTTTAAGGATTTATTTTTTATAAAAACTTTGTTATTTCAAATGTACAGGGTGTCCCAATATTCCACGGACATAGAACTACTACGTATTTTTGGAATCAAAATAAGTTCATTGGACACAATTTACCTCTATACAAAAGTACCTCGTTTGTCCGCTAGAGGGCATCAAACTTTAAAAACGTAATAAACGCATTTTTTCACATAATATATTTTAAGAACCGTTAGTCACAGATTTTCTTTTCGAAAATGGTCCCTCTACTATTTACTACATTTTCCGTAAAAAACGGTACATTGGATAATTTTTATGAATTTTTTTTTTCAGAATTTATGTTTTTATGGAGTTCCAATATTCCGTGGACATAAAACAACTACGTATTTTTTTGGATCAAAATAAGATAATTGCTCATAATTTACCTTTATACAAAAGTGCTTTGTTTGTCCCTTAGAGGGCTTATTGTCAAATATAATTTGTGATAGTAACATAAAATTCCATATTTTCGCCAACTAGATTATTAGAACATAATAGATTTTATGCGCCACCTTAGATCAATGTGACAAAAAAAACATTTTTTTAAAGTCAGTTTTGGAAAAATATTTGTTTTCCTCAAAAGGTATGCACGGTGGCTTTTTTTTACAAGAGACAAAAATTGTAGTAAATACCAGAGGGACCAGTTTACGAAAAAAAAATGGTCTTCGGTAGAGTCGGAAAATATTAATACTAAAATTTATGTAGGGGTGGGGGTAGTTTCGACCCTTCCCGTACTTTTTCTTGATTTTTGTGAAAGTAAAATGTTAGAGCACTTAACAAAACATAGACACCCAAAATCTCATTCCAATCGGAATAACGATTTTTAAAATATCTTAAAAAAATGTGTTTATTTTTTTAAAGTTTGATGCCCTCTAGCGGACCAACGAAGCACTTTTGTATAGAGGTAAACTGTGTCCAATGAACCTATTTTGATTCCAAAAATACGTAGTAATTCTATGACCGCGGAACTCAAACCAAAACCTCAAAGGTAGATTGTATTTATGTCATTATTTTGATGTTGTCAGTCGTAAATAACCCATTTTTCGTTGGACAGACTATACTTTTAATGTAGTACTTCTTCTTCCGGTTCCAATCTTGCACGTTGGGTGTCGTTTGTAGACTCTTTCCGCTTAATTGTAAGGGTATTCTGCCCGACGGAATATAGTTACCGGGTCCGGTATCTCACTCCAGTCACTCATATCCCGGAGCCATGAGTGCTGTTTTCTTCCTGACTCTCTTCGACCCTCAATTGTGCCCTGCTGGATTAGTTTCGGAATTGCATAGCGAGTTCCTCTCAAAATGTGCCCCAAATATGACATTTTCCGGGTCTTAACTATACAGGGTGAGTTTCCTGCGATGTTTTCTATGGGTATCTCGGAAATTTTTTTTTGTAAATATGAATTTTTCAAATGCAGAAAAGCGTGTAGGATTATTGGTTCAATTTTTCTTGGCCTTACAGTTTCAAGGATACGTTGACCGGTGAACGATACTTACGTTTTTTAGAGAACAGGTTTCAAGACATGTTAGAAAAGTTAAATTTAGATACTCGCTCATTAATAAAGTGGTTCCAACATGACTTTTATTATGACACACCGCCCCGCCCCCTCCACAATAAAAATAATGTTAAAAATTATTTATATCATAATTATGTAGACTCAGGGTGCATCCATACTATCCTAGAAAAAGGGGAATGGCGTATCGGCGTAACGACCTTGAATAGATTTCCAGTAATTCTATTGGCTGAAAAATTCATGTCAGAAATTTCAGCCAATAGAATTACTGGAAATATATTCAAGGTCGTTACGCCCTTACGCCGTTTCTAGGATAGTATGGATGCACCCTCAGGGGTAGAAAGAGGTGGACCAATTGCATGGGCCTCCTCGATCGCCTATCCATTTTAAATTTTTTATGCGGTATGGGTAACAAGGTTTATAAAAAAACTCAACATTTTCTAAAATAACTTAAGTGTATGTAGTGATATTATTTTTTAAGTTTTAGTTTGTGTAATGTAAATTGTAAAGAGTCGTTTAATAATATATGTTGTCTTTTTATAATTTATAAATCATCAACAAAATAAGAATACCATGCCAACTAAGTGAAATTAGTCAAGAAATATAAGAATTGGCTATAACTCAGTAATCTTGTAAAAAAAACATATTATAGCTTATACCGCTGAACAGCTTAAAAATGGCGCTTTTTGTGAAGCCATGGTCAACTATGGTTTCCGTTAAAAAAAACATATGTTTATGTCATATGTCAAAAATGACAGGCTTTAGGAAAAATCGGAGAATACAAACTCATTAGGGATGTGATTATCTACAAATTTTATCTGAAAACTTTTTGTCTAAAATAGATTATAATGGAATTAGGGACAATTTTTAAAATAGCCAAAATTTCATTTTTTCGAAATATCTAGTAAGAGTAGTAAGCCATGAACTTTTTCAAAAATCTGAAAGGCGCATATTTATGATCCCGCAAAACTACTATTCTTTCCCCATTTAACCGACTCTCTATCTCCAGTAGTTTCCGAGATACCCATAGAGAACATCGTAGAAAACCCACCCTGTATTAAGCAGTTGCCTTTCGATATCAGCTTTCCGCATGTCATCAGTCAAAATCGTCTATACTCTCGTTGGACCTTATATTGCGTCAAAAAACATATATTTGGTTTTTCTAGAGGTATGAAATATCTTTAGGAACTTTATCAAATTTGTTTAAATAAAGTATTTAGGTAATATAATTACTATTTTCTGTACTTGATGTGATGTTTTCTTAAAATGTACTCTGAAGTATTGTCTGTCTGCCTGAAGAATATATTACATGATAGTAAGTTCATATGAATGAGTAACCATTAGGAATGTAGGTCATGTAAGAAGTGGCAACGTTGCATACCGTTAGTACATGATGAAAGATACATTTCAACAAAAATTTTTATGAATCTGCAGCTTCTATTTTTTTTTCTAAAATGTTCAGGAATCTAAACAAAACATACAAAATTTTCGAAATTTTTTTTGTCATTAAAAACATCATTTATTTTTTTAATAAACAACAAAAGTTAAAGCCACTTTCAATTAAACTGGAAATCATATCAAGCTGATATCTGTTCAGTGAGAGGATCCCCGACAGTCACATTTATGTCTGTCATTATAATTTATACGTAAATTATATTTTCTGTCATTTTCGGATGTCGTCTGTGTCAAAATCTTCCCTCGCTCGTTGTAGAGACTTTACTATTGTCTATCCGACAAGAAATTACAGACAATGATAGTTGGAGTGGTCAGAATTAAAATAGATCAAGTCCAATTTTCTACTATTTTAAGATAATCGTCTTATACGTTTATAGAATATTGTTTTTTCCAGTAGAGAAATGATCCAAGTCATACTTCTCGCATTAAGCAGCTATAGCCTGTTTATCCAACTTGTTTTATTGTAATTAAGTAGCATTAGAAAACTTTAAGAGTTCATTTCACTAGTCCGAAAAAGTAGCAAAATAAGTGTTCGGCGTTTAATATTTTAGGTAAAACTGGCTCGGAATTTTTATACAAATGAAGAAGGAAATTAAAGATAAAGGATTATACTATATCCGTATTGTAGCACATTTTTAGACAACTTCTTTATTTTTAAGATTTTGATGGTCAAACATCTACAAAATATGCCTTATGTTTGGACTAAATTTTCTCGAAAATAAAGAATAATTTATATGGTTTTGTATCAAATTACTCGCTATTCTATGGCAAATGCTGAAGCTCTGCAAACCTTAATCAAGCTTTAATCAAAACACGTGTTTTTGGAATTTTGGGTGTGGCTTAACACGACAGGGTCGGGCTAAGCCTTAGGCAGATTTCTGAAATATAATATACAGTGCCGGCCAAAAGTGGAGAAACTTATGATTTCTTTCTTACTTGCGATTGTGTATAATAATCCTTCATTAGATTTTTTATTGGCATGCTTGCTAATAGTTACATTAAATAATGCACACAAAAAAACTTAAATAATTGTTTTTATTGTATAAAATAAATAATATTTACTTTCCTAGAGGACATAAGTGGAGAAACTTTGTTACTGACAATTAACAAAAACTATTTTTTTAATATTTAGTTGAAAATCTTTTGTTCTTGATCACCTCTGCACATCTTCGGGGCATCGATTCCAACAAAGACCTAATTTTATTTTCTAAAATCTCAGACCAAGCTTGTGACAGAGCAGCAAATAATTGATCTTTATTTGTAAATTTTTCCGGGTGTTTCTGCCTGACCCACTTTTTTTCTGCACATATTTTCTGTGGGGTTCAAATCCGGACTCTGAGCTGGCCATTTTATAACAGGCACTTGTTCTGCTTCAACAAATTCTTTAACGATTTTTGCAGTATGCTTTGGATCGTTATCATGCTGAAACTTCCAAACAAGAGCTAACGATTCCTCAGCAAATGGCAACATTGTATTTCTTAAAATGTCCAGATACTGATACCGATCCATAATTCTTTCTATTCTTCATAGTGATCCCATCCCATGGCCAGAGAAGCACCCCCACACAAGCACGTTGCCACCCCCATGTTTGATAGTTGGCGTAGTATATTTAGGAATGTATCTTTCGTTATTAGGACGCCTTACCTACTTCATACCATCGGAGCCGAACATGTTAAATTTGCTTTCATCCGACCATAGCACTTGTTTCCATTGGTCGTAAGTCCAATTTAAATGTTCTGTGGCAAAATCCAAACGAGACCGTCGATTTTCTTTTTAAATAAAAGGCTTTTTGGCAGGGCGTCTGGCGTGTAGCTTCCCTTCACTTAGGCGTCTTCTAATAGTCCTCACAGAAATTGAAACATGTTGATTTTCCTTTTTTATATCGACCGCAGTAAAAAATTGATTTTTCAAAGAACACCTTCTTATTAATTTATCGGTGGCAGCTCCACTTTTTCTGGGCCGTCCTGGTTTAGGTTTACTTTCAATTGATGATCCTCTTACTTGGTACAGTTTTATTTGTTTGCAAAGAACACTTTTATTTAATTTTAACTGACTTGCAATATCAACTTGCTTGACTTCCTCCTGGTATTTTTTAATAATCAGTTGTTTTACCTGATTTGATAAATTAATACCACGAGGCATTTTAAAGACAAACTACAAAAATGCTGAGAAAATATTAACTTTCTCACACAAGCAATATTGAATTTATAGTAATAATAGCAAAAGTTTCTTCATTTGTATGTCCCCATAAAAATAAACAATTTTACTTATCAGCAAATTCTTTCTAAAAATATTTAGTGTTTTTCTTTTTTATTAAGTATTATCAAGATCTATAAACATTCGTATACTTGGCGTATCAATAGCAAATGTATTTGTGGAGTGCATTGTAAAATTTAAAAGTTTCTCCACTTTTGGCCGGCACTGTATATTTTTAAGAAGGTACAGCGTAATAGACTCTTAAGGCCTTGATTCAGTTTACTTCTGAACCCCTCAGTTGTCTGTTGTTTGTCATTTTAATTCAAAAGTAGATTGTATTTTCTGTCAATTGTTGAATGTCGTTTGTCAAAATCGTCCCTTTTTATGTACGTTTGTCACCTTGAATAATTTAAGCTTCTTGTTATGTATCCAATCGATGTATTTCGTATAACAAATTTCATGAATTACATAATCGTTTTTTTAATTTCAGCTGCTGAAGAAAGTCGGAAACAGTTAGCTGAACAATTTAACGGAAGTTCTCAAGCCAACCGAAGTTCAAATAGCAAGAGAGGCAAAAAGAAACGTCCTATATCATGTATGACTGTGAGGACTCTTCCTATGTGCAAACCATCGTGACAAACCAAAGTCTTTTTTAATAATCAGTTTTTGTTAGATATGCATTTTCTTTTCTTTTTGGCCTTTTAAAATACCATACTCTTTGTGAAATACTGATCGCACAGTTTAAAAGCGTAGTAATTAAATTGTAAGAAAAAATTAAATTTCAGTTAAGGAACGTTTTATCCTGCAAAAAATATAAAATATTTGGATCATTTTCACATAAAAAAAGGATTGGCTAATTCAATGTTCTTTTTTGGTTCCACATATTAAGAAATCATGGGAATATAAAAAATTCAATAATTTATAACGAGGTTATATTGTTGTAATGGTATAAATTTGTTTTTATTGTATTAAATGTAAATAAATAAAAAAATAGAAGATTTTTAATGGCTCTTTTGTAAATTTTTATATAGTATATGCATTAAGGAGTGCCATATTATGTAATATAATTCTGAAAATATGTTTTCATTAAATAAATCATAATATTATTTTTATGAAATGGTTGTTTCTTTTGTAATTGGATTTAGACTAGTAGGCCACAGTAAGCGAGGGTTTTAGGGTCCGAATTCTGAACACCTGTACCAATTGACCTGAATTTTAACAGTGAATAAATATACAGGGTGAGTTTCCTACGATGTTCTCTATGGGTATCTCGGAAACTACTGGAGGTAGAGAGTCGGTTAAATGGGGAAATAATTGCAGTTTTGTGGGGTCATACATATGCGCCTTTCAGATTTTTGAAAAAGTTCATGGCTTACTAGATATTTCGAAAAAAACAAATTTTGGCTATTTTAAAAATTGTCCCTAATTCCATTATAATCTATTTTAGACAAAAAGTTTTCAGATAAAAGTTGTAAATAATCACATCCCTAATGAGATTGTATTCTCCGACTTTTTCTAAAGCCTGTCATTTTTGGCATATGACACAAACATATGTTTTATTAAATGGAAATTAAAAAAATTAAATGGAAAGCATAGTTGGCCATGACTTCATAAAAAGCGCCATTTTTTAAGCTTTTCAGCGATATAAGCTATAATATGTTTCTTTCGCAAAATTACTGAGTTATAGCCAATTCTTATCTTTCTTGACTAATTTCACTTAGTTAGCCATGGAAACAAGTTCAATCGTCGTTGCTCTCAGAAATATGAAATTGTCACATCCAATCTTTGTAAATTAAAATAAACAAAAATTGTAAATAAGAGTTTTTCAAATGAAAAAAAGCGTGTAGGATTATTGGTTCAACTTTTCTTGGCCATACAGTTTCGAAGATACGTTGGCTGTTGACCGGTGAACGTTACTTACGTTTTTTAAAGAACGGTTTTCAAGACATGTTAGAAAAGTTAAATTTTGATACTAGTGCATTAATAGAGTGGTTCAAACATGACTTTCATTATGACACACTAACCCCCCCCCCACAATGAAAGAAATGTAAAAAATTATTTATATCATAATTATGTAGACTCAGGGATAGAAAGAGGTGGACCAATTGCATAGGTCTCCTCGGTCACTTGAGCTATCCATTTTAGATTTTTTTTATGCGGTATGGGTAACAACAAGGTTTACAAAAGAACTTATGAACTCGAAAAGGTGAAACAGGAGAAGTTTAATTAAGTCGACCGGTCGTTCTGTGAGAATAGCTAGAAATTCAGTTTTAAAAAGATGCATTTATGTACTCAAAACAATTGCGGATTTTTTGAAAATTTTCTAAAATAACTTATAGTGATATTATTTTTTTAAGTTTTAGTTTGTGTAATGCAAATTGTAAAGAGCCGTTTAATAATATATTTTGTCTTTTTATAAGTTATAAATCATAACAAAATTAGAACACTATTGAAAACCGTTCTCTAAAAAACGTAAGTAACTTTCACCGGTCAATGTATCCTCGAAACTGTATGGCCAAGAAAATTTGAACCAATAATCCTACACGCTTTTCTTCATTTGAAAAATTTTTGTTTTTCAATTTTTGTTTATTTTAATTTACAAAGATCGGATGTGACAATTTCACATTTCTGAGAGCAACGACGATTCAACTTGTTTCCATGGCTAACTAAGTGAAATTAATCAAGAAAGATAAGAATTGGTTATAACCTGGTTATAACTCAGTAATTTTGTGAAAGAAACAGCTCTCAGAAACATTTCTGAGAGCAGCGACGACTGAACTTGTTTCCATGGCTAACTAGGTGAAATTAGTCAAGAAAGATAAGAATTGGTTATAACTCAGTAATTTTGTGAAAAAAAAACATATTATATCTTATATCGCTGAAAAGCTTAAAAAATGGCGTTTTTTATGAAGTCATGGCCAACTATGGTTTCCATTTAAAAAAACATATGTTTGTGTCATAAGTCAAAAATGACGGGCTTTTGAAAAAAATCGGAGAACACAAACTCATTAGGAATGTGATTATCTACAACTTTTATCTGAACACTTTTTGTCTAAAATAGATTATAATGGAATTAGGGACAATTTTTAAAATAGTCAAAATTTGTTTTTTTCGAAATATCTAGTAAGCCATGAACTTATTCAAAAATCTGAAAAACGCATTTTTATGACCCCACAAAACTGCAATTCTTTCCCCATTTAACCGACTCTCTATCTCCAGTAGTTTCCGAGATGCCCATAGAGAACATCGTAGGAAACTCACCCTGTATATGTAAGAAACAAAAGTTACATAGAGCGATGTGTGCTTTCACCCTGGGGGTGAGTGTCACCCCTTCTCGGAGATGAAAAATAGATCACCCATTTTAATTGCAAAAATCAATAAAGGGATAAATTCTAAGCAAAAAATGTTCTATAACATTTTTTCACAAAATTAATATTTTCCTATTTATTTAGGATTGAGTATGTTGATTTTTCATTTAAAACTGCATATTTTTCTGCCATTTTTTATAAATAACTCGAAAACCTGGCGCAAAACCTGGAAACACTTTATCGCAAAACTCATATAAAGCAAAAGTGCAGCTTTTGGAATAACTAAATGATCCATTTTTTGCTAATTACCGTAGGTGTGTTAATAGCCGAGTTATCACTTTGTAAAGGTGATTTTTTATTTTTCGAAAACTTAATTGCAACATTTTACCGTAAAATAATATAATAATGGCGAAAGAACACATTTGTCGGCGAAAATGACCGTTTTTAAAGTGCTTGAAAAGACCTATTAAATGCTTTTTAAAAAAGTTCGTAACTCAAAAACTCGCGGAGTTACGATAAAAATAAAATGGTCACCTCATTTTTTCTGAAAAAAATCAACAAAATCTATGACAAAAATTATAAAAATAAAAACTAAGCGTAATACATGTACAGTTGGCTATATTTAGGTACTAATAATGGGCTCTGCAAGTTCGAGAGGTTTAGAATGCCTAAATTTGGAAAAAAGTTGAAAATAATGAAAATTTTTATTTTTTAAAAAAATTTAATTTTTTTGACATATCTCAAAAACTAAGCAAGATACGTAACAAATACAACAGAGTAAAATTGAAGGACTTTTTTGGAATATTTTTGCGCTCTTTCAATTTTTCTGTCGATCTCTTTATTTTGTATATATTACGTTTTTTAGTTTGACTTGCCTTTAGACCACCTTCTTTGAGCCGTTAAAACCCAAAAATCTCGTAAAAATGAAGAGTTCAGGACTGTTAAACTATACAGGTTAATTTGTAGCTCGTGTAATTTCCTACAAATTGATAGTTTTTATTTTTATGATTTTAGTCATATATTTTGTTGTTAATTTTTTTCCGAACAAATGAGGTGATCATTTTATTTTTATCATAACTCCACGAGTTTTTGAGCTACGAACTTGAAAAGACCTTTTAATTCAAGTTTTTTTACGGTAAAAGGGTTGCAGTTTAGTTTTCGAAAAATAAAATATCACCTTTACAGAGTGATAACTCGGCTATTACTACACCAAAAAAAAAGCAAAAAATGAATCGATTCGTTATTCCAAAAGCTTCATTTTTGCCTTATACGAGTTTTGCAATAAAACGCAAGGTTTTAGAGTTATTTATAAAAAAACTGCAGAAAAATATGCAGCTTTTAGATGAAAAATCAATATTATCAATCCTAAATAACTCGGAAAATATTAATTTTCTTAAAAAATGTTATAGAATAATTTTTTCTTAGAATTTATACCTTTATTGATTTTTGCAATTAAAATGGGTAATTTATTTTTCACCTCCGAGAAGGGGTGACACTCACCCCAAGGGTGAAAGCACACATCCCTACATATACCTTTTAACTACTATGTACCTTTTATTTCTTACATATATCTCTATCCACTGTTAAAATTTCTCATCAATCGGTGCGGGTGTTAAGAATTCGGAGGTAATACCCTATTTTTATCCTCGCTTACTGGCCTATAGACCGATAACTTTCCGTAATTACTAGACAGATAACTTTCCTAACTAACTAGACTGATAACTCCTTTTTTGTCATTAGATTTGGACTTAACTGATAAAAACCTGTCGAATTTTTCTCATTTAAACATCTTGTTAAAGTACCGAACTTCAAAGTAATAAAAAAGAAAGTTTCAATATCTAACATAGTTTTTGAGCATTTTTTGAGTTATCGCGTGTTATGTATCAAAAATTTCAGTTTTCAAATTACCGCGAATACCTACTGACGTTTTTTTCATTATAACAAAATGATCACCCTAATAATATTTTTATAACTCAAATCAGGGGCGCCGACTTTTATGAAACCTCGTGGGTGCTCATCAAATATGAGTAAATGTAATAAATTTCCAGATTGTTACATTTGTCGTATTTATTACACTTTTTAACATATGTAACATACATAACAATATTAGAAAAATACGATATCAATTTATCATTTTAATAAAATAATAATTCTACCCATTACAATCGTGTAAGGGCAGGCATTAAAACAACAGACAGATACTATAACTGTATTTTATAAAAGCTTTGTTCGGGTTCTTATTATTACCTGTCAGGTACAGATATGTATGTAGAGTTACCGATTAGACATTACCGATTCTGAACCGTCCTAGAACTAAGCAGCGCATGCGCAAATTTAATAATTTCTTTATATGTCCATCTGCGCATGAGTATCACAGTTCTAGGACGGTTCAGAATCGGTAATAAAAAAACCCGAAGTAAGCTAAAGAGATATAAAATAAACGAAGCTAAAAGTTACTGAGAAGAGCTACTAGTGGAAGAATATTCGAGATGGGGGGGGGCAGCTTAGGGTTTTTATATAAACAAATTTATCCGTCAAGACTAAAAATTCTCAAAGATAAACACAATATAATCATACACAACGAGCTTTCCACATCACATAGCACATTTCATATTGTTCCGGATTCCGTGGGTCCACTAATTTAAACTCACGATAAAATACTTAACGAATTTATTATCTCACTTTATACACACAATAACTAACTATTTATAAAATTCCTTCACCAAATTGTCCGACTCGTAATAATTTAAAGCCATACTTCAAACTCCAAAAACTGTCCCAGTTGCCAATTACGCGGGGTTATATACTCTATTGACTGCTTCTCGAAACTTCTACAATTCTCGGAGAGCGTTCTACTTCATACTGAACAATTCCATTGTCTGATTCGCTTACTCATCGACTTGATTAAGAGATGGCGCCCAAAAATGTTTTTTACTTTCTGGCGGATGCGCCATTTTTCTTGACTCGTTGCGGTTGGGTAGGCAACCAGTAATACATTTTAGGGCTACATACACTTTGACCTTGACAATATACTTGACCAGCTAAATAGATTGACAGTGAGCTATCGTGGATATGAACACACATTCCTAATGTAGTTTACAATTCGCTTCCAATTTAGAATAAATATAATTAATATACAGGAAGAGTCTTAAATAAGTACAAATATTTTCAGGGCTGGTAGATCTCGATAAAAGAAACACTTTCTCTTTATCGTTTTTCAAATAAGCCCAAAATAAACCGAGTTGTTATACTTACTAAAAATTAAAAAAAATATGTATTTTACGCCCATGTTTTGACAATCACTGTTTTTTTTTGTAAACATAATCTACTACCTATGTTGCCGTAATATTAAGATAATATATTGTTACGTTTTTCGTCGGTTCCGTGTGGATAGAAAGTCACAATTTATTTAAACACTATGTATTTAACACTAATTAACAAAAACAATAACGATAAAAGACTTAAAGAACTATTTACAAACGATTTATAACTAAGAATTTATTTTTGAATTTTAGCGCGTCAACTGTACTCGTCTATTTATATAACTGCCCTCTCTAGGCCACAGCCGCCGGCTTTTATACCGACAGCTAAAGATCTCTAGAATAGTCCATAGATCGTTAGGTGCATAGAGAAGGTTTCGATTGTTCTCGTATGCACTACTCCATTCCAGTGGAACTCGTTTCTTCTCGAATCTTCGAATGAATCATTACAGTGTCTATTCTTTAATGCGATGTTAAAGTCATCCGAAGGCGGGCTATATAGTTAGGTTAGGTCGAGTCCACACCGGTCCGCAACAATATTATATTTTTTAACTAAAAATTTTAAAAAATCCATTTTTTTTCGAAAAATACCAAATTTAAAAAAAAATCGCAAAAGAACCCTTATAGACGTGTTTCTGGGGTCGAAATATACCACCCCTAAAATATTTGTACTAATTTAAGACTCACCTTGTATAAATCTATGAACTCTCTAAACACTTTTAGAGCCCACACAAACGCACAGTTATTTATCTTTATTGTTATTATTAAACACAGGCAGACTGTGCAGGCCAGTCTGCGCAGTTTAACCTGTGTAACAGCCTGTCGCACACACACGCAATTTTATAGTACAGTTTTATCTATAATAAACTGAGTTACGGACTCACTTCGGCACATTTTTTCTAAGTAAAAATGGCCTCCCGAAATACACATCTGTCTTGGATTTTATTCACTTACGCAATAAGTAAAAAAGCAGGAAAACAACGGTTACTTAAAAGAAATAAGTATTGCCATGTTAATTTCTTGCTGATTTACAAGTGGAAAAAGAGGATTGGTTTAACTACCTAAGAATGAACGAGGAAACTTCCTTAGAACTACTGAAATTAACGTCTGGAATTGGGCTGGATGAGAAGCGAGTGTCTTAAAGTTGCTCAGGTTGGCAACTTTAAGACATCCTAGTTTTGATGCTTATGCTCGTGGATGCACCGCACCCACTAATTTTCTTTCGTGGGTGCTTGAGCTGACTCAAATGCCTAGAAACATACATAATGATTTTGTGTTAGACTTAAAAAATAATCTGAGAAATGTGGCAACGCTGCAACAGCACCACATTTTTCTCACTCCGACTTATTATAAGATCCCTAGCCGATTTACCTCCACACATGTAGATACCGACCCAAAAGTAAGAGTTGCCAGCGTGGCATAGCCTATGTAACGAAAGGATCCCTGACAGTGACAGTAATTTTAATTCAAAGGCAAATTGTATTTTCTGTCAGTTCTTGGATGTCAATAGAACTATTTCCCTGACTCGTTAGATGGACAATACACGTTTTAAATAATATTGGAACGGCACTGAAAATCCAGAATTTAAGTCAGCCATATTAATCCCTCATCGCGCTGGATCAACGTTTGTTATTTCTTTATAATTTTATTCAGTGATTGGTAACTTAAAAAACTTAGTAGTTTAAATATTTAACAAAAATTATTTGAAAAAAAATGGTAAAGAATTAGGAAGAAATATAAAAATGAAAAATTAAAATATATAATTTTATTCAATCTGACCCATCATCTAACAAATATTCAGAAATTTTTGAACATGAATAACAATGCTGAGGTGTCATATATACAGTACTCTCAAATGTTTTTTTAATATCATCAAACCTATCTTGTTTAGACATATCTCTGTCAGGTAAATACGTCGATACCAATTTAGAAAAATGTGTAGATTCTTCAGAGTTCAGTTCGGAATTTTTAAAAACAGGACCCTAAAACATTAATTTATAATATAGTAAATACAAAACTGAGAATATAGACTTAATATACCTTGCAAAATTTACATTTCCCTAAGACCTTAATATCTGATACTAATTTATCACCAGTTTTTACGACAGTTGTAACAGTTGCTGGATAACCTTCTTGTAACTCTGTTACAAACTTTTTCAGTAAGTTCTGAGCTGAAGAATAGGGATCTACCTTTATTTGTCTGATTGCTACTGGGTTTAGTTTATTAAGTAAATTGTAAAAAGCTAATTCCTTCATATCAAACAATCTTAACGGACTTAATACTTTAACAGAATCATCTCTGTCGTCACAAAATCCCTAAAAATATAAATATTAATTAATAAAACACCAAGGGCCCGATTCTGTAAACATATTTCCTGTCTAGTGACTCATCAGTCGTATACAAATAGCATACGCTAGACAGGAAATTCTTTGCTACGGAGCTTACTCCCACTGCTGAAGTGCCAAACTAACAGTGGTGAGCAGTACATATCAAAGCAGGGTCGGCAAAATTGCCAAATAAGAATAGCATAAGTAATGAATTAGATAATCAATATAATTATTTTTTATATACAGGGTGGTTACTTCGGCAGCTTAACTAATAAAACTTCAACTGTAAAAATTAGTCATATGTTTCAAGGTTTATAAAGGGGCGTATCCTAAAATATTTTGTTATATACAGGGTGTCACAAAAAAAGTTATGGTAAAGTTAGTTTTATTTTTTTTTATTATTTTATATCATTCTATATACATTATTCTATATAACGTATTTTTTATGGCGTCACCAAAATTGGAATATTTAAAATGGTATATCTCAATTTTTTTAAATGTAACATTCTGTATAATATTTTTCTGTCAGATGCAGAATTAAAAAGTAAACATTTTTTTATTTAAAGTGTTTTTAAATTTTTAACGGTTTCGCAGATATTCGCAGTATTATATTACATATGGCTCTTTCAACGGTAAATTTTTATCAAAGCCACCTAATATGATCTTTGTCTGATATTTTATCGTTGAAAAAAAAAGTATGTAATGAAATACAGAAAATATTTGCAAAAAGGCTAAAAATTTAACCAAACCAAACCAAAACACTTTAAATACAAAAAATATACCTTTTAATTCTACATCTGAAAGAAAAATAATATACAAGGTGTTGCATTTAAAAAAAATGAGATACAACATTTTAAATATTACGATTTTGGTGACGCCATAAAAAATACCCTGCATACGATAAAGTAAATTTTCTACACGAATTTATTCTGGTATCCTATCTATATCTCTAGTTTTTTACCACTTTTCGTATATAATGTTTTTAACCAAAGTTTTAGTAAATAAGAAATAGAATGACAACACCACAGTGTGGTTTAAATAAAGACAGTGTACTATATGCAGAATTTTATGCCGAATCTAGTTATCTACAGAAAAACCGATTCCAGTTATCTACAGAAAAACCTTAAATCAAAAAAAAAGTTGTAGAAAATCTCTGAAACAGATAATAATATAAAAATGTGTCATTATATATTTTTTCCGCATTCCTTCCCATCAGAAGATTTTCAGATACAGAAGAATTGTTATCTACACGAAATGTGAAAATACTCTGTTTTCAAGCAAGTCTTTACTCGATGATCAATTTTTTTTAGGAGTATCCAATTTTGCACAGAGGTCCCTTAAGTGATAAAAGTGCTCGATAAAAATGGCGCCCTATAACGTATGACGTAAGATTCTCGAACGTATTGTTACGGATTCCGTGGGTCCACTAATTTAAACTCACGATAAAATACTTAACGAATTTATTATCTCACTTTATACACACAATAACTAACTATTTATAAAATTCCTTCACCAAATTGTCCGATTCGTAATAATTTAAAGCGCGGTATATTCAAACTTCAAAAACTGGTCCAACTGCCAAGCACGGGTCTTTATATACCCCTACTGACTGTTTCTCGAACCTTCTATAATTCTCGGAGAGCGTTCTGCTTCATACTGGACAATTCCACTGTCTGATTCGCTTACTTGTTGACTTGATTAAGAGATGGCGCTTAAAAACGTATTTTACTTTCTGGCGGATGCGCCATTTTTCTTGACACGTTGCGGTTGTGTAGGCAACCAGTAATACATTTTAGCGCTACATACACCTTGACAGTATAAAATAGTAACTTCCGGAACAATGCAGGAAACCCTATAGGTAAATAAGTGTTGGTTTACACGCATCCGTAATGCGTCGCGCGTCGTCCGTCCTTGATTTTATGCAATTTTATTGGTTTATTTAAAAAATGACAGCACATACCATTACGCTATTCTTGTGATGTCATTAAGCAGTATATTGTAGTTTGAGTTGTGTAATAAATTAATTGTTTTAATGTATGTTTAAAAAAAGATTCAATATAATAAATTAATATACTTGCCAAACGTTTTGGATAAACATAGGGGTACTTTTTGTGGTCCATTTCATTGAAAATAATTTTAGAGACTTACCGTATCCATTGAAATTTGACTACCTTTTCCTAGCGAAATATTTATTAACAAATTCGATGCAACATCAACAGATATATCAGGTTTAAATATAAATTTGCATTCCAATTGCTTGGCTACTGCAATCAAAGCATTTTTCCTAAAACTCAATGATGTATATTACTGTATAATACATAAAAATTTTAATACTTCTCTATGTTAAAAAATTCTTTTCGGTTTGTCTCGTTCATCTTCTTAGTAAACAGTGATACAATTTTGTCACCATCGTCTGCTTTAATATAGTCAGAATTATCAGACAGAATAATTCTATTGTATAAGACCCAGTCGACAAACGAAAGAAACTTTATTTTAAACTCATGATGTGCAGCTTCTGTAAGTATATTACTTATTACATCCTTTCTTTCGCTTAAAGACAAATGGTACTGGTCTAGAATGAAATATAATAAAGATAATTATTATAATAAAATAAAAATATTTTACAAAAAATACATAAGTGATTATTAAGGACATGCTTAAGTTGACATATGATATGTCATTCGATTCAAACTGTCATTTTCAATCGAATAAAGTAAAAAAATACCGAGGGTGCCATTTAAAAATCAAAAGTTGTAGTCATTTCCGGTGAAACCGGAAGTGACAGAAATCAATTGAATATGTCAATCAATTCCAATTTATGTCATATATTAACGTGCCAAATCTCGTTTTTTTATCTGAAAAAATAAAAAAGTTATAGGGGTGAGCCACTTTTGAGACGCACCCGGTATTATAAGTTATACGTGGTTACACACTAACGCTCATGTACAGGGTGGTCATATTAGAGGATATCGGCTGTAGTTCGAGGACCTTTAACGATAGAACTTAAGGGAAATATATTTATAGACAAAGCAGCCAAAAGAAATGGCTGTAAAATGTAATTATTTTCAAGTTCGCAGGTTAATATATGAGGACAGAGACACATTGACATTTTAGAAAATGTATACTTATATTTGCATTCATGACAATAAAAACTAATTTTTATAATTGAAAACATAATAATTTATATATTTATTTATTTCTGTTTACAAAATTAATTTTTCTAAACGGCCAAACATAAATAATTATAAACTTCAAATCTCAATTCTCCATGTTAATGAATTCTTCATAAAGTTCACTTAAAATAAATATAAATAAAACCTATACTTGAATATGCTTTTCACAAATTAAAGCTTTTTTACACATTAGGGTGTGGCATAAAATAAACATGAATATCTTAATTATTATTGAGATACAAGGTGAAATATTTTTCTATTTTTTTTTTATTATATTATAACTCTGATGTTATTATAGATGTGTTTATGAAATTTTATGTACGTCTTCTATGCATAAAAATTATTATTTTTAAGTATGAAAAAGTGTTGTTTCAACAGAACAGTTTCGACTGAAGTACTTAATTTTTGTTTCAACTGAAGTACTTTAATTTTTTAAGCAAAAACTATGCGTCCAACGAAAAAAAAATAAGAAAAGAATATTTTAAGACAAGTCAGTGGCGTACCATTTTTTCTCGAATTATATTCTATATAAAACAAAACCCGTGCAGACGCCACTGCTTGAAATAAATAATTTTGTTGGAACATCAAAAAGATGGTTTGCTGCATAGAAAACGTGGATCAAGTTTCATAAAGATATCTATAATAATAACAGAGTTATAATGAAAAAAGAAAATTTGAAAATATTTACCACCCTGTATCTCAAAAGTTAAGATGTTTAGGACATACATTCATTCGAAGTTTTTTTCTTAGAATAGGTTCAAGAATCGCTCCTTTAAAATATTAACATGTTATTAAGGAATATCCTTTATGTTTGCTATAATCACAGATTAGATATACTATATGTATACAGATAAAAATCTTATCCCTAATTCGTGGTACGAAAATTGTTTTTTATGACGATGTGCAAACGAGTAAAATTTCCTGTGCGCAAAAATAAACTCGCGTAAAATAACAATAAACAGCGTAATAGAGAGATATCGCTAAATCGAATAGCGTGCATGGACGTTAATAAGGCCAGGTATTATTTCCTTTACGTGAGGTGGTATTAACTCTCTTCATTTATAGTTATCGGATCGGAAAGAATTCTGTTCGCGTTGCGTCCGCTATTTAAACTTAACCTAACTTTGAATTTAAAACTTTGAAATTGTTTTGTTTACTAGGTATTTTAAAACTAAAGGGCTAAAGTGCTTATTTCCAGTGCTTTATTGTTCAACGTCTGCCAGTGGGTTTAGGGCAACAAGCAACAAATTCTCTTAAAAGGGCTAAGTCGTCATCCGCTGTAAACCTAAGCCTCTTTATAGATTCTTTAATATTGGAAGAGGTGGAATCCATATTTTGGGCCATATTTATTTAATTAAAACTAATCCCAGCTACTTAAATATCAAATTACCTAATAAAACTAAAGTAATAATTCAAAACAATTCAAACATAACCTAAAATAAAAGATCTCGCCGGCCGGCCCCGGTTGTCAAATACCCGCACATGCCCATTTAAGCAATTTTTAAACGTTATTTAGAAATAGCACTTGGTGTAATTGATCCGCAAATTACGTCAGGCGGTAACGTTATTAGTGGGTGTTGCGTTAAAAATTGACTCGCGCATATTGTAACAATGATAAGGTACGCGTAAATACTGCATGACGCTATTCGGTTTTCCGATATCTCTCTAATAACTGCGCCGGTCAGGAGAGTATTTTTCTAAATAGTTATGGCAGTTAAATTACAAAAAAAAAATAAAAAAATTTTATTCTCAATGTCTCTCACTTTGTTTGCTAATCCTAGTTGTTCTACGTTCATGAAATATTGCAACGCCCTGTGTATGAGTATAATTTATTATAACAAAACACGACACATGTAACGTTAACTATGTAAAAAATAAATTAATATAAATAGATATTTAAATGATGAAAAAATAAAAAGACCTATACTAGGGCTGGCATTTCTAGTCTTGGGTGCCGATTTTCGTGTGTACGAAGAGTACCGTTACGGTCAACACGCTTAGCAAAATAAGATGTACTGAATAAAGACAGAAGGCAAGAATTTTCCCCAGCGCCAGCGCATGGAATCTAGCGTCAGATTAAGTGGTTATGTAATAAATACTTCGTATTTTTGCTCCCTCCGACTTACCGCCATAGCGATTCACTCCTATACATGTAAACGCCGACCCAAAGTTTCGCTTGACAGCAGGGTATACAGGATGGTCCGAATTATATTCGGGAAACTTCGGCAGCATATTCTGCAGATAAAAATAGGGAAAAAAGTCCGTATAAATGTATGTCCTAAAATGCTTCGTGTCGGAGATACAGGGTGTAGAAGTTTCATTTTTCTTTCGGTTTTTCCAAATAATTCCCCAACTATAGTCGATATTTGGATACAAATTAGTGTCTAGTTGTTTTTTGACATGAGAAATTTGATTTCGATGTCAATATGACCCCTACTTATAGGAGGCGCTACCTACATACATTTTAGTAGATTTGAAGTGTAATAACTTTTCGTCCGTACCTGTATAAAACTACTGAGTAACGAAATATACAATTCCGTCATTTTTACGTAAAAAGGTCTCTTGATAGAAATCGTTACGAGCAACCGTTCTCATGATATTTAGAATGGAAAAAAGAATTAGAACATCAAAATATCGATCTTCCCCCACCACTTTGTTTTTGAAAATAAACAAAAATGATCAGAAGCAAAAAATTACGTAATTGGTTTACACATCTTGTATCTCAGATATTTAACTTTGGTCAATAACTAAAAAACTGTTGAGTTTTGATAAAATCTTATTATACCAGTGGAATATACCGGGTGCGTCTCAAGACTGGCTCACCCCTATCACTTTTTTTCAGATAAAAAAACAAGATTTGGTATGTTAGTATATGACATAAATTAGGATTGATTGACGCGCCCAATTGTTTTCGGTCACATCCTGTTTTACCGGAAATGACTACAAATTTTGATTTTTAAATGGCACCTTCGGAATATTATTATTTATTTGATAGAAAATGACACTCTGAATAGAATGACATATCATGTCTTTTGACATTTTCGCATATGGTTTATTTGAAGTTAACATGCGGTTCATAACAACAATTTGACTCGTGTGTGGTACCAAATTTTTCATAAAAAAATGCTTTTTCCAAATATGCTAATGAGCCACCCTTGTTCCATTTGAAAAAACTGAGATATGATTAAAAAAATGATTTAGGCATCTTTTAACCAGCCAGGACAAGACACGAAAAACATTAGATGATTATTTTTCCAACGCTCCTTGATTAAAAATTAGTGTTTTAACACAGCCATGACAATCTAGATTGAATATTAAAATACGATATTTTTTTAAGCAAAGATGTCAAAAGTTGACATATGATATATGTCATTCTATTTAGAGTGCCATTTTCTATCGTATAAAGTAAAAATATACCGACGGTACAATTTAAAAATCAAAAGTTGTAGTCATTTCCGGTAAAAAAGAAAGTGACAAAAAACAATTGAATACGTGAATCAATCCTAATTTACATATGTCGTAAACTAACATACGAAATCTTTAAAGAAGGCGTCCATTCGACTCAAAGAGACCTGGTTTAAATTAAAAAGAAGTATAAAAAAGACTTAAAGTCTCGGTCTCAACGTATATATTAAATTAAACAGTGACACGTGTTTCGCTCATATGAGCATCATCAGACAAATACAATAACAGTAAATCCACACACACGTTCACATTTTACATATTAAAACAACACTCCAGTGTGTTGTTTTTTAAATACGAAATCTTGTTGTCTATCTGCAAAGATAAAAAAGTTATAGGGGTGAGCCACTTTTGAGACGCACCCGGTATATTAAAAATTCTATAAAAATCCATTTTCAAATATACAATAACTCTTTAAATTAATGACAAGGGGTACTTGAAAACACCAATGTATAAACAATTGCCCTCTACTTAGAAACACTATGGCAAATGTAATATGATCTTTAATTTCATCAAAAAGTGGCCAACTTAACCAAGCAACTAACGCAAAAACTGCACCTTTTTATTTCTTTATAAAACCTGATAAAACAGATGAAAATCCACTCTATACATTTAACAATCATAATAATGGGACAACTTTACAAGAATTCCACATTTCCTCATTTGTTATTCTTTAACATTTGACCAATATACCGTATGATCAAAAAAAAAAAATCGGCGTCCAGATGTCTTGGAAATGACGATCGATGACATTCCCCATATGATATTGTACAATGGTCATGCAATCAGATGCAATAATTACTTTAATGGCATGACTCTATGTGTTGTTAATAACTTCATTAGCTTTTAGCTAAATCAGCTAACGACAAAATAATGACTCTTTAATATCTTCTAATAATAATGTAACTTTAGTAAGTGAAATTTGCTTACCATCAACAAAAACAAATACAGGATCAAATGTTAATTTCTTTGGTGTATTTAAATTCAATCCATCTCTGATTAAATGCAGCAAAGCCGTACTTGGATGTCCAATTTCATAGGTCACTAAAACTTTGTCTCTGGGACGAATTAACTTAGATTTACCAAGTAACAACTTGAATTTATGATTTGTATTCAGTAAGAAGCAGGGCTTGCAGTACGAATCTTTTCCTCTCAATAATATACAGGGCGTTGCTTCCTTACATTTGTTACATTTTTGTTTATCCCTACGGCCCATATAGGAAATTACCAATAACGGCAATAATAGTTAATACATAGATATATTTTCAAAAAAAAAATTAAAACTTACACTTGAGTCTTATCTATGTGAGGCATATATTTCTCACTACCATTTTCCAATTCGTTACCAATGGAACACATTGTCTTTTGAATTGTTAAAAAGTTGAACACAGCTCTGAAAACAGGTTGAAAGGGTTGAAATTTTATTTTCAAAAAGTAAGGTTAGAACATTAAAAAATAAAAATCATAAAAAACCAAGAAGTATTGTTGGTTGCCTAGATCATCTAGGTAATTAACACAGACCAATGCCGTCTCTAATAGAACAGCCTCAGCAAGATTTATGACGTCACGCTAGTTAGATACTACGGATTAATAAATATGTTGTAGAATACATGGAAAACATAATTATTCCTCAGATTTTTGGTTTGTATTTTAAAAATGATATAGTTTACATGAAATATACATAATATACAGTTAATAACTACCTATTTATAGTAATAATATAGTAATAAATAAATAAATAAATAAATAAATAAATAAATCTTTATTGACTACGTATTTATACAATGTATAATTGTAGCAGGTCAGAGTAAATAACAAACAAATAAGAATTCATAAAAATACTAAAAATTAGAAAAAAAATAATACACGGAGGCAAAGTGTGTTACATTAAATACATACAAGACAAACAACAATTTAAGAATTTTTGTACAAATAAATCAAATTAAATCTAAATTCCCACCTACCTGCTCTATAAACTCATCCACGCTATAAATTCCAGATTTCCCTAAAAATGTCTTAAGCTGATATTTAAATTTATTAAAACATAGAGTTTTTAATTCCATTGGAAGACGGTTGTATAAATCAATGCGTAGAGAGTTTCTAGCTGATTTATCCAGTCTATAGAAATTGGTACGTATTAGATTGGCAGATCTTGTTCCATAATTATGACAGTCAGAGTTAACTGTCAGATAAGATTTAGTTTTATGAACTTCCAAAAGTTGATTTAATATAAACAGAGCAGGCAGTGTAAGTATATTCAGTCTAATAAAGTGGGGCTTACATGTATCTCGATAGCCAACACCACATAATATTCTAATTACCCTTTTTTGCAACCGAAATATTTGAATAGAATTTAGTAATACATATATACCTATTTCTATTTATAGTAATAAATACTTTGGCAAATAAACTATGAACCATACAAATGCAGCAAATGTTTTACAATATACAAATAATGTATAGGTATATAAGATATTGGGTAAAATGTAAATATATTTTAAATTTTGGGGTTTGAAAATCGATCTAATTTAACAAAAAACATTCAATATCTACTAATAGTGATGTATTATTATTTGCATTCACAAAATTTATATGTATATTTTGCAAGTATCAATGTTCGAAAAATTATATTTACAAATAATACAATATCATCTAAAAAAAGGCGTCAGCGATGGTTATGAAATGAACATCGCTGGCATTTTATATGTAAAATTATTCTAAAATTTTTGATTTTCTTGGGATTTTTAGGTTCGGGAAAAACGCTGAATTAAGTTTTCATTTGGATTTTCATTATTTTTATTTGGTTTAAAAAAAAACGTTTCGGCTAACTATAGCCTTCATTAGTGTTGTGTCATATGAAAAAAATAGTGTCGAATATAATCCAAAAAATTACATATAAAATATTCACACAACACAATGTTTACTGCAATTAATAAACTAATATAAACTTATCAAAAGATGACTACATATTTTTTAAAATTATTATTCTTAACACTAAAACTATCTACATTGACTATGGAATACGCAGTAAACATTATGTGGTGCGTGGTGTGAATATTTTATATGTAATTTTTTGGATTATATTCGACACTATTTTTTTCATATGACACAACACTGATGAAGGCTATAATGTTAGCCAAAACGTTTTTTTTTTAACCAAATAAAAATAATGAAAAACCAAATGAAAACTTAATCAGCGTTTTTCTCGAACCTATATCTCAAGAAAATCAAAAAATTTAGAATATTTAGAAACAAGGTTCAAGAATATCAAATTTTCCAAGATTGTAAAATTGTAGTTAATTATTTTATGTGTACAATTATTTAGGGAATGTCATCGATGTTCATTTCCAAGCCAACTAGACGCCGATTTTGTCGATGATACGGTATAATTCTTACATAAAATGTAAATAACATTAGACCAATTAAAACAAAGAAATATGAATTTCTTAGTATTTTTAGTAACATTCACAATTCTTAAAACTTAATTTTGAATTGCAAATATACCAATTTTATTGATATTTTATTCATATTGTATTCAGCCATCACTTAAATATTTGATATTAATTTGGTATTAGAAATAATCAACACTATTCAGTAAAAATTACTGAACAAATATATGTTATGCTTTACATACATTATATTGTCAAACAAAAACACATTCTTCTTTTAAACTTTATCATTCTTGTCTTTACTAAAATCTTTTTTAATTTTGAACTCAAAATAATAATCTTTTTCATGATCTTTAATACACATATTCTTTATTTTTCCCTAGATCATAATACCTACTTACGTGTTTATCTTACGTGTTTGAATCTATCGAAGCTGAACCTACAACACTTGGAGTGGAGATTCCACAATATGAATAAAATAAACATAATTGTCCAGTTTTCTTTAATACCATCCTGGGAGAATATTATTTTTAAATTTATTAAAGATATTTTCAATAGAATTGTATTGATTTATAACTCGTACCCACTTTTCTTGCTCTTCCGGATACTTTAGGCTGCCTAGTATTACTATCCTTTCCACCAGGAACACAATAAAGATGAGGCATAGCACCAAAAACACACTCCACTTAAGCTTTATTGATGAATTGTTGAACAATCTTAAAAAACACATACAAAAATCACGATAAATAAAAAATTTATGGGCACTTTTACGTTAAAGCGCTTAACAAAACGTGTAATATTTCGTGTTTTTTTATGAGAAACAGAGTGACCATCATAGTGACCATATATATGGTAGTACTTTATGTCACTTAAACACCAAAATAATTAGATTTTTGCACTACAATAACAAATAATACCAAAAATCAACCGACAAAATATGAATACAGAATCTGACCCAATATCTAAGTATGTACTGGTATGTACAGCCCAGAGGTACAGCCAGACAAAAGTCCGCCGTCCGCCCGGAGCGGCTCGGAGGCTGATCTTTTATAGAAGGCATTGCACAGACGTTTATCAGTTTTTTCCATACGGTATTGCCGGTTTTCCTCTAAAATCTTTAAAAATTTGGTCTGAGTTAAAACCTATTAAGAAAAAGTTTCTGATATTAATAAGGTATTAATACAGCAAGGCAGACAAGACAAGCTTAGACAGTTAATATATAATTAATTAAAGTCATTTTGCTGCAGTTTAAATACCCCACATAATATTTTACACTTTGTTAGCGTGCAAGGTATGTACAAGGTTAGCGTGTCCTTGGCGTGTCCGTTTGTTTAGTTCAATTTTTATATTTCCCTTTACGTCACTTTACGATGCCTACCGCATGTAGAAACCGACAAATTTGCAATTGCAATTTCTTTGTATCTCTGTCTACCGATTTAGCACTTCTACCGATCTAGCAGTGCAACTACCCATCTACGGAAAAGACTCAATTTTTTCTACTGAGTTTCCGGTACATTGAACCATAAACATTGAACAATTAAAAAAAAATAAAATTAATAAATAAATTTATAAAGTTTGATGAAAAAATGTATCTGCTAAAAAAAACATTTTGGTAGTGGCAACGGTGGCAACACTGTGGTCCATGTCAAATAAGTAATAAGTTGGAAATAAAGTCTAAAGCCCCGTTCTCAGAACTGCGACTGTCGCCAGCGACACGTCAAGAGGACCAATGAGATTTGTACAAAATTCAAACAGCTGTCAATTTTAAATTTAGTACAGCTCCCATTGGTCGTTTGAAGTGTCAATCAGTGTCGCTGTCGACACGACGCAGTTCTGAGAACGGGACTTAGCCCGGGGGTGCAACTTTGTTCATGTTTCAAAGCGATAGCAAAGTAATTTGTAGCTTGATGCACTATGTTCAGTAGCAACATCGATTTCTAGCGATATTCTGATTTCTCGCTTTGTGGCGAGGCGACAGTCTAGACACGTGTGCAAGAGTGTGATAGTGATACCATATTTCGCAGCATTTGAGCGACACTAGTTTTGCAATGAACATAGTATCGATCTGGTTTCGACATCGCTTCTAAACGATCGGTTGCTAACTTGAACAAAGTCGCACCCCGGTTCTCAGAACTGCGTCGTGTCGACAGCGACACTGATTGACACTTCAAACGACCAATGGGAGCTGTACTAAATTTAAAATTGACAGCTGTTTGAATTTTGTACAAATCTCATTGGTTCTTTTGTCGTGTCGCTGGCGACAGTCGCAGTTCTGAGAACGGGGCTTAATAAGTCCTAAGCAAGGGTCCTAAAGCCCCGTTCTCAGAACTGCGACTGTCGCCAGCGACACGACAAAAGAACCAATCAGATTTGTACAAAATTCAAACAGCTGTCAATTTTAAATTTAGTACAGCTCCCATTGGTCGTTTGAAGTGTCAATCAGTGTCGCTGTCGACACGACGCAGTTCTGAGAACGGGGCTTAAAGCCCCGTTCTCAGAACTGCGACTGTCGCCAGCGACACTTCAAAAGCACCAATGAGATTTGTACAAAATTCAAACAGCTGTCAATTTTAAATTTAGTACAGCTCCCATTGGTCGTTTGAAGTGTCAATCAGTGTCGCTGTCGACACGACGCAGTTCTGAGAACGGGGCTTTAGAATAAGTCATAAATAAAAGTTATATGGTCATAACCAGGTCATAACCAATGTCATCTGTCATAAAACTGTGGTCATAACCGTCATAACCTTAGGATCCCATTGTAGGTAATGTTGTAATTCTGTTGTAATTAAGTAATCATTATAAAAAAAGAATAAATACCATTTTAGTTAATGCCCGTAAAAGATCCCTGTAAACAGTTTGCTTGTAGAATACAAACGTGTCTGAAAGGTAAAAAATAATATCAGTTATATAATCGACTAACACAACTTCTTATAGAAAACAAATTTCAAGAACCCTCTTGTCAACATGCGATAGAAGAGATGCGTGAATGTTGTAGAAAGTGGAAAGAGAAAAGTTACGTTTGTGGAGGTATTGATACAAGTCGCAAAAATACAGAGAAATGAATCAACAAACCACTATAAAGAAAAAGGGTTTATTCCTTAGTTTATTATATAAATATCCTAGAACAGTTGTTGCTACCATTCTATGTACAAGCCTAACAATTTTTTTCTCCAAACCTGTATACGATATCTTTTCTTCTGAGCCAATCGATCTTAGTGAAATACCACAAAAGTATAAGTCGAAACTTAGCCATAAAGATTAAATATGGATTCTGTATCGAAGGCAAGACAGCGGTTTAGACATTATCCCGTAATATTTGGAAAGTGCGGTAAAGAAGCTAGTTCGTATGCCACTTGTGTTTTAAAGCAGGATAATTTGACTATAAACAATTGTGTACAGGAATTTGAAAGCTTTAAGAATTGTTTGCAAAAAGTTGCTTTAACGCTAAAAACAAGAATTTAGTTATGTTATTGTTAGATCGCTTTATAGATTTAGATGTAATTACCCATTTTATTTTTGCCAGTTTAATTCGAGCTATTTTAATTGTTTACGGAATATGGCACGATAAATATTCAGACGTTCCATACACTGATATAGATTACAAGGTGTTTACTGATGCTTCGAGATACATTATTGATGGAAAATCGCCTTATGATAGACATACTTTCCGTTATTCACCTTTAATTAGCTTCCTCTTAATCCCGAATGTAGTTATTCATGAAATTTTTGGTAAAATATTTTTTTGTATATTTGATCTTGTAGTAGCTTATTTAATCCGATGTTTGGTATATATTAATATTTCACATTGGTTAAAATACTACTCTAAAGATGATGTTAAAATCAATTTACAAAAAGAACAGAACTTATGGGCTCAGAGGGCAATGTTGTTGTGGCTGTATAATCCAATGGTTGTTACCATCTCTACTCGTGGTAATTCTGATTCACTGGCATGTGGTTTAGTTATACTAACTCTATATGTTTTACAAGCAAAACGTAGCTATTTTTGTGCAGGCTTGTTACATGGTTTATCAATACATTTTCGTATATATCCTATCATTTATACTATGTCATTTTTACTGTATCTCAGTAACTTTAGTTATTATCTCGATTGTGACAAAAATGTGGTAGATTTAACGCTTAGACAAAAAAGGGAAACTAGAAAATCTATTCAGAGAATTTCATTTCTTGGTCAGAAATTATTTTTATATTTAATTCCAAATTCACATCAAATAATCTTTGTTCTTGGAATGTTAATGAGCTGGTCAGTTTTAACTCTAACGTTTTATTTCTTTTATGAATTTAGGTTTCTGTATGAATCCATTCTGTATCATTTTGTTAGAACTGACTTTAAACATAACTTTTCATTATATTTTTATGCTCAGTACCTCTCAGCTTGGATGAAATTTGATATTTGGTCTGTTGTTTTTTGGCATGCAATATTAAAAAATTTACCTCCCTTAATAATACTGTTATATCTTTCGGTTTATTTTGGTTTGAACCAATATACTTTAAACTTCACCATACTTTGCCAAACGATAGTTTTCGTTATTTATAACAAAGTTTTAACTTCTCAATATTTTGTTTGGATTATGGGAATTGTGCCGTTATGTATATGGCAATTGAAATTTTCAGTGAAAAGTATTTCGCTGTTGGTTTTAATTTGGATATTAGCACAAGGTACTTGGCTTTTGCCAGCTTACCTTTTAGAATTTGAAGGGAAAAATACTTTTATATACATTTGGGTGCAGAGTATATCATTATTTTGTACTCATGTGATTATATTAGGTCACCTTCTACAAAATTTCATACTGAAAATGCAGATAAATAAAAAGACTCAATAGTATGTAGCAATCACTAAATAATTTCATTTTTTAAATGTTTATTTCAAATTAGTAATGCGGCTGTAACAAGGCTTCGCCATACTTCAAACCGTAGAATAACAGTGTAATAGTCTGATTAAGTAGAAAATGAGTAATTTCTTATCTTTTACATATGAACATATTCTGTATTGTAAATTTGATAAGGCATTCTTAGGGTGCTAAATAAAGTAGATATTATATTTTACATTTTTTTTTATTTGACGTCATTTTCCCGAAATACCGTATGATCGAAAAAACACGGCGTCCAGTTGGCTGGGAAATGACGATCGATGACATTTCCTATATAAAATGACCGCGATCTCCAGTTCATAACCATCACTGACGCCGTTTTTTATTCCATCATACGGTATTATCTCTGGTATTATTGGATCAGTAAAACTACCTACTACTACCTATTACTGGATCAGTAAACTACCTATTACTGGATCAGTAAAACTACCTATATAATTTATGTCATTATTAAAGTATGTAATTATTTAAGTAAAGTAAAAAATTAAATGTTAATTAAAATTAAACAATGTGTTAGTAATGATCAAATCTTAGAATTCCAATAAATTAAAAAGTAAATGCAGCACGTAATTTACACATATGAAGTCAATTGAATTACCATTGGATTATTGTGATTTCATTACCAAGAACACGTTTAAATTATGCCAATTTATGGTGTTTAAATAAAAGACTGTTGCAAAGAAAATTCTCATTTATATTTTATAAACACAAATATAGAATCACATAAATACATTATGTATAATGTACGGGGTTATTTTTAAATTATTTTTGTTTAACCAACTCAAAATGCATAGTGTGCCTTGGAGACCATATAAATAATACTCTACACAGCTTATTCATTAGACAGTCAGTCGACTTATATCTGACCTCCACTGAAAATCTGTTTATAAAAATTATCGAGACTGGTACTCAAAAACTAACGAAGTTGACTGACGGTGTAATGAATAGGCTGTGCTCTCCATTTTTTGTGTATAGGAGCGGTTGCTTTGATTAAACCAAAGTAATTCAAAAATGGTTCACGTAAATATAGACAAACTATACAGGGTGGTCCGAATTGTATTCGAGAAACTTCAGCAGCCATATTCTGCAGATAAAATTAATTAAAATCTATATTGTACCGAATAAAAACGGCGTCCAGTTGGCTTGGAAATGAACATCGACGACATTCCCCATATAATTTTACATATAAAATGACAGCGATCTTCATTTCATAGCCATCGCTGACGCCGTTTTTTCTCGATCATACGGTATATATACAGGGTGTTTCAAAACAAATGCGAAAAACTTCAGGGGGTGATTCCTTGTTCAAAATAAAGGGTAGTTTGCTTTATAAACGTTGGGTCAAAAGTCAACCATTAGGGAGATATCGCGGTACAAAGATGGCGGAAAAATAATGTTTTTATTTTTTATCTTGAAAACGAAAGAGATAGACTAATGAAATTTTACGGAAGCATTACTGTTATGAAAACACTTCTTTCTGTAATTTTTAACTTTTTAAAATGAGTGGAAGGGGTTGAAATAAACTACCCCTATCATTCTTGTTAATGAAATTTAAAGAAAAAATCTTATCAAACACATGCAAAAAATAATTTTGATAGTTTAGTTTATTTAGAAACTTTTTATCTCTAGTGTTTTTTGATTGAAACTCACCGATTTGAAATTAAAAAATAAAATGTAAAGCATTACATATCAGGACAAAAACATTTTAGATAAAGAATCTAGTGGGCAGGTGTAATTTTTTAGGAAAAAATCTAGTCGGCCGCTGTCACTTTTTAGGATGTTTCTAATATTGTTTTATTTGACATTACCCTACTGCAATACGTTATTATCTAGATTATTATTATTATCATTATTATAACTAGATTCTTAATCTAAAAATATTTTTAGTCCTGACATGTAATGCTTTACATTTTATTTTTTAATTTCAAATCGGTGAGTTTTATAAAAAAAATACAAGAGATAAAAAAGTTTCTAAACAAACTAAACTATCCAAATTCTTTTTTTTGCATGTGTTTGATAAGATTTTTCTTTAAATTTCGTTAACAAGAATGATAGGGGTAGTTTATTTCAACCCCTTCCACTCATTTTAAAAAAGAGAAAAAATTACCAGAAAGTGTGTTTTCATAACAGTAATGCTTCCATAAAATTTCATTAGTCTATCTCTTTTCGTTTTCAAGATAAAAAATAAGAACATTATTTTTCCGCCATCTTTGTACCGCGATATCTCCCTAATGGTTGACCCAACGTTTATGAAGCAAACTACCCTTTATTTTGAACAAGGAATCACCCGCTGAAGTTTTTCGCATTTGTTTTGAAACACCCTGTATATACTAATACCGTATGATCGAATAAAAACGGCGTCAGCGATGGCTATGAAATGAAGATCGCTGTCATTTTATATGTAAATTTATATAGGAAATGCCATCGATCGTCATTTCCAAGCCAACTGGACGCCGTTTTTATTCGATCATACGGTATATAAAATCCTTAAGTGACTGACATACTGATTAATCACGATCCTGCTCAAACCACTCAACGTAAAAAGCTCAATTTTGGCATATAGGTTGATTCTAGGGTGTAGAGGTTCGATAAGAAGGGATTTTTGGAAATTCCAGTTCCAAGGGGGTGAAACCACCCCTTAAATATTACAATATTTTTCGAAACGGTCAGGTTTCCGAAAAAACGCTTAAACACGTATATTTTATTTTGTTTTTTTACATATTTTAAGATTTTTTAAAAATGTATACAGGGTGTTTCGAAAAATCTGGTCATTGATGAATCACGATCCTGCTTAAAGCGCTTGACGTAAAAAGCTGATTTTTGGAAAACAGATTGACGTTAGGGTGTAGAGCTTCGATAAGAAGGGATTTTTCGAAACTCGAATTCTAAGGGGGTGAAACTATCCCTCAAATATTAAAATATTTTTTATTTAAAAACCGGTGAGTTTTTCGGAAAAACTCTTAAACGTATATTTTATTTTGTTGTTTTACATATTTTAAGATTTTTTATAAATTTATACAGGGTGTTTCATAAAATATGACAATTGAGTAATCACGACTCTGCTTAAACTGCTTGACGTTTAAAGCTGATTTTTGGCAAACGGATTGACTGTGGGGTGTAGAGGTTCGATAAGGAGGGGTTTCTCGAATCTCAAATTCCAAGAGGGTGAAAACGCCCCTCAAATATTACAATATTTGTTATTTAAAAAACGGTTAGTCTTTCGGGAAAGCGCTTGGATAAGCATAATTTATTTGGTTTTTATACATATTTTGAAATTTTTTAAAAAATCGTACAGGGTGTTCCAAAAAGTTGGGTAATTTCTTAACCACGATTCTGCTTAAACTGCTTGACGTAAAAAGCTTATTTTTGGCAAACGGATTTTTCGAAAGTCAAATTCCAACGAGATGAAACTACCCCTCAAATATTCCAAGTTATATAATAATATCGCCATATTGTTTTTTCTCATGCTGACATAAATGTGAGAAAATTTTATCCAGTTTGTATGTTAATGGAAATTCTAGCTTTGCTTTATCATCACCATTACAAATTATTAATTCGACGCGAACGAAGTCGCTGGTACACGCTAGTAATAATATATAAAATCCTTAAGTGACTGACATACTGATTAATCACGATCCTGCTCAAACCACTCAACGTAAAAAGCTCAATTTTGGCATATAGGTTGATTCTAGGGTGTAGAGGTTCGATAAGAAGGGATTTTTCGAAATTCCAGTTCCAAGGGGGTGAAACCACCCCTCAAATATTACAATATTTTTTATTTAAAAAACGGTCAAGTTTCCGAAAAAACGCTTAAACACGTATATTTTATTTTATTTTCTTACATATTTTAAGATTTTTTAAAAATATATACAGGGTGTTTCGAAAAATTTGGTCATAGATTAATCACGATCCTGCTTAAAGCGCTTGACGTAAAAAGCTGATTTTTGGAAAACGGATTGACTTTAGGGTGTAGAGGTGCGATAAGAAGGGATTTTTCGAAACTCGAATTCTAAGGGGGTGTAACCACCCCTAAAATATTAGAATATTTATTATTTAAAAACCGGTCAGTTTTTCGGAAAAACTCTTAAACACGTATATTTTATTTTGTTGTTTTACATATTTTAAGATTTTTTAAAAATTTATACAGGGTGTTTCATAAAATATGACCATTGAGTAATCACGATCCTGCTTAAACTGCTTGACGTTTAAAGCTGATTTTTGGCAAACGGATTGACTGTGGGGTGTAGAAGTTCGATAAGGAGGGGTTTCTCGAATCTCAAATTCCAAGAGGGTGAAAACGACTCTCAAATATTAGAATATTTGTTACTTAAAAAACGGTTAGTCTTTCGGGAAAACGCTTGGACACGCATAATTTATTTTGTTTTTTTACATATTTTGAAATTTTTTAAAAAATCATACAGTGTGTTACAAAAAGTTACATAATTGATTCACCACGATTCTGCTTAAACTGCTTGACGTAAAAAGCTTATTTTTGGCAAACGGATTTTTCGAAAGTCAAATTCCAACGAGATGAAACTACCTCACAAATATTACCAATTAGTTATATAATAATATCGCCATATTGTTTTTTCTTATGCTGACATAAATGTGAGAAAATTTTATCCATTTTGTATGTTAATGAAAATTCTTGCTTTGCTTTATTATCACAATTACAAATGATGAATTCGACGTGAACGAAGTCGCTGGTACACGCTACTCTTCTTATAAATGTTTGTCCTAAAATGCTTCGTTTGGAAGATACAGGGCGTTGAAGTTTCATTTTTATTTCAAATTTTTCCAAATAATAATAATTTCTGAACTAAAGTCGATATTTGGATGGGTGCCTGGGTTTTTTGACATGGGAAATTTGATTTGGATTTGTCAATATGACTCCTATTTCGTGAGGGTGCCTGCTACATAATTTTAATTGGTTTGAAGAGTAATAACAGAGGTAATAACTTTTCGTCCATACGTGTATAAACTACTGACCGAAAAAATATACATTTCCGCAGTTTTTTACGTCAAAAAGGTAAAAATTGCTAGGAATAATGGTTCTCGAGATATTTGGAGTACAACCAAAGAGTAGATAAGACAAGAGACGACAGTTCGCGCGGTACCTTTCATGTTTGAGTGGTGGGGAGAGTGACCTCGGCTCGCTTGTCCCTTTAAATTTTCGTAATTTTTTCGCGGGAAATTTGAAATAGACTATTATTAAAACTTATCTGTATAGCTTATAAATAGTTATACTGTATGGGTAAAGAAATAAATAGAAACGAAAAAAAATGAGTTTTCTAAATATTATATAAAATAAATTATAATTAGAAACATATTTGTCGGGGAATAAAGATAATAAAAGCAATATTTTGTATATCGTTGGTAAACAAGATAAAGTGACCAAGTCGATTTATAAGAAATGTTTTATTTAATTATTTACGTGTATTTTTTTTACATATGGACTTGAACAAGTGTAATATTACAATGTGGAGTTTATGTACAAAAAAATAGTTGCTCAATTTTTTTTTGTAAAATTATATTACAAGCTTCTAACCATGTCTTCGATCTTTGGATTACATTTAGTTTAATAACATTTATATTTTTAGTTTATATAGTATATTTCTATAAAAATACTTTTCAGGATCCTTTGGAAAAGAGTGAAATATTATGTTTGTCGAAGAATAAGATCTATTTTTGCAGTGTTTATAAGCACACACATTGCCACCATCTCGTCTTTTCCTGCTCTACTCGTGTCCTGTTCAGTATTCATATTTAACAATAATTACAAATTATTACGCAACAAAAACGATACTAAAATTAAACCTTAAAAACTCTCAAAACGATAATATAACGAAAAACTCTGAAAACACACTTTAAAAAGGCAAAAATGCAAGAAAACAACTAATAAGATTTGTTTATATTTAAGCCTCATTAGCACAGCTGATTAGCGTCCTAAAATCATAGGTTAGAATAAATAAAATTCGCCGTTGTCAGATTTTCAGATTTTATTTGTTTATCTTTGAAATCGATCAACTTAGTTAGTCATTCTGTTTCTTTGATATCAGTACATTGCGAAAAAAGAAGCTAAACCAACCTAAACTAAAAATTTTCATTTCCGTATTAACATACGTTACTTATTCCTTCTTACATTATTAATTTATTTTCAGAAAATCTTGTTTATTTTTCAAAGAAATATACTTGGCAACAGTGGGACTTGATGTGACCTTTAAATGTTAATATATCTGCGTCTCTCTCGCGAAATTCGACTTCTTTGTTCACTGTCGTCTCTTGTCTTATCTACTCTTTGGTACAACTACAATTCTGACTTCCGTTCCACAGAATATACTAACGAAAAAGAAGCCCAAGTTCCTTGTAATAAATCGGTTCCATTTTCGTAACGCCATCTCTCGACATAGCTGACATTAAAGGTTAGCCAAAGGAGTGCGGGGCCGGGGGAAATTGTAAAATACACTTTTTTATTTTAATTATTTTTATTCGCTATTTGCAATTTTATTTTTAAAACATATAATGTCAAACAATCACATAATATGTCTTAAAAATAAAATTACAAAGGAAACAAAAGGAATTAAATAATCTGAAAATCTACAAAGTTTATTGATAAAAAAAGTTAGGCTATGCAAATTGATAAGTATATTAAGTATAACCTCTTTGGTATAACATTGTTAAACAAACATTAACAAATCATAACATATCAGATCATAGAACTAAAAAAAGTACTATTACATAAAAACAGGTGATACAATACTTCAAAATTAATTTTAACATAATATCAAAACCGAAAAATCAAACTGCAAACACAACCACACTTATCACAACAGAAATTAACACACACTTCCACGGCAAATGTCCAAGAAAGACTGATCATTCTGATTGGTCCTGGTCCGGTCGTAGCTCACGTCGTATTGTCGGTAAGCAAAATCCCTGTCCAAAAATTTTGACGATCAGCGCCATCATCCGTCATAATTGGGAAACTTTTGCTGTTCCGTTCGGTCTGTCGTCAAGGCAGCATCGTATGTTGTCTGATGGCTGATTGTTCGGGAGTCCAAGTTGTTATTCTGAAGATACAATTGTAATCGTTTTATAAAAGTCTATTATTTTTTGGTGCAAAAGTGTTAAATTGAGTTCGTGTCTCATTCAGATACATATTTTTGTGAAATACATTTAAAGAAAATCTTTTTCACGTTGTCACGGGGTAACCAGGCCCTATGTAGCCGGATGCTACCAGCGTGGGAGAAGAGAAGGTCAGATTGATAATATTTTTAAAGACAACCTTTTTTCACGTTGTCACGGGGGTAACCAGGCCCTATGTAGCCGGACGCTACCAGCGTGGGAGAAGCTTTCGAAAGAAGTTGAAAAAGTTTAATTGAAGAATAGAAGAAATAGTCCATTCTGAAGACCAAACACGGAGGGTATGGATTCGTTCCAGATGCCTGAAAGGGCGCTCTCAGTGATGAAATAGAAGAAATGGAGATAGGAAATCTATCCACGGGCCGTATAGTCCAGGCAGCTAAAGGCCGTTAAACTGAAGAAAAAAAAAACTACAATTCTACAACCTAACCTCTAACGTCCATATTTTAGGTAACGATTTTGAGAGAAACGTGAGTTCAGAGTTTAAAAATAAAACTGTTTAGTGTATTGGTTTAGGGGGGGGGGGGTGAGGGGTAAATTAAAGAATCCACAGGCAATTTTGTTATAAAAATATTTAAGAATAATCCATATTAATCAACACCAAAAATATAGTAATTAAAATAATTGAAGTTTACATGACTAAAACATCACAAAAATAAAATATTAAGACATAATTTTTAAAAATATGCCATTTTATTAAAACTTGAAGTTGTGGCATGTGTGTCAGTTATTTATTATGCTTTAAATGGTCATCAATCCATATTATGGTATTGAGTATGGAATCCATTTCATTTGGAACACTTCCTAGAGGATGACTGTCTTCATATAAGTTCATTCTGAAAATATAAAAACAAAATGCTTTGAATGTAATAGGTATAAATAGGTACACGTATTTGGAACTTTGTTTTGTAGAAACAATTTTATTTCTTAGTACTGACTGATATAAGAGGAGTTAAGAAGAAGAGCAGGAAATAACTATGGCTATATCTAAATAGCACTCTAATTCTCCAATATTTCTAAAAACATGTCATTACTTATTTATTATTGTTTTAAGATTATTATTTTCTTTTGATGGAAATTTATTAAGTACTTATTAGAATACATCCTTTCATCATAATGGTATTTTTGTTATATTGGAGAAATAAAGACAATAACTTGTTTAGATGTCACATGTTTAAATGAAAATAAACTAGAAATATAGGTGCTCATAAACACCGCACAATCGAAAAAAACGGCGTCAAAGACGGCTAGGGAATGACAATCGATAATAATTTTGGCGAGGTCTAAAAGTTGACATAAAACTTGTCAAATATTAACACTAATTATAGAAAGATTAAAAAAGGAAGTACCCAGAAACACAAATCTATTTCCAAGAAATTATTTTTCTTGAATTTTAAACTATACATAGATAGATATTCATTTATTTGTTCCGATTAACAAAAGTTACAAGAGCCTGCAGGCATGGAACTATGGAAAAATAGCAAAAAAAAACAAATCTTAAGACTTAATATAACACACATAAATACACTTAAATAAGGAAATCACTAGAATAACACTCGACAACAAAAAAATATAAAATGTATGTTTCGAAAATCATTGTTCAGTTTAAATAGTCTTTCTAACCGTGCTATATATATAGTATATACTATACTACAGTAGTAGCAACTATCTCAAAAGTCCACACTACATTACAATTACTACAAACAATAAACATGGTCACTAAAAAGTGAGATATGCGAATCGGAAAAAAAATCGGCCAAACTATAGTATGCCTTTTTGGTTAAATAATCTTTTAGTACAGTTCTTATCTTTCCACGAGACAATGCAAAAACAATGTAAAAAGTATATTAACTGAATATAAAAGAGAAAATGTAAATACAATGTAAAAAGTACGTTTACTGAATATAAAAATAAAATACAACCTTATAAGGCCAACTGGCAGTAAGCGCCATTAAAAAGTAAAGAAGAGTAAATGTAAGTAAAGGGCAACTAGATTTCGCCAAAATTATCATCGGTTGTCATTTCCAAGCCGTCTTTGACGTTGTTTTTTTTTCGACTGTATGATATAATATTTAGTACATTACCTGACTTTAATATTGTTAGATTTGAGTCTAGTATAATACTCTAAACTTTGGCTGGGCGGAACTCTTAAATCTTTAGATCCTATTAATAGAAGAGTTGGAGCAGTTACTTTATGTGCATGCATAATAGGTGTTGCATTACGCATTTTTAACAAATGATCGGTATTAGGCTCCCCCACCTGGCTATAAGACTCCCCAACTCCAACATAGCATCTGAAAAGGTATAACGAAAATTAATGAAAAAAGACGATCAAAGCGTTGAGTCTACAGTCTGTTGCATTGCTTACCTGAACATAGGAAATCCCATGTAAATTTTAAAAATGACGAATAAGTTTTCCCCATTTTATTTTACAGAAAAAAGTATTTGAAACTTTTGAAGAACTCCTTAAATTTTTGATCTTCAATACTTCTACGAATTCCTTTTGGAGTTATGAAAGGTAAAAAAATACTAAATTAATTGAAAACATAATTCGGTCCAGAACAGTTTACAAACTATACTAAGGATCGGCATCTTAGATGGCATCTGGTCTTGGGTGCCGGTTTTCATGTGTACGAAGAGTACGGTCAACACGCTTAGTAAAATAAGATGTACTGAATAAAGACAGAAGGCGAGTATTTTCCCAAGCGCATGGATTCTAGCGTTAGGTTAAGTACCCAAGCAGCATTTGGATGTCGGGACAACGTTGTGTCACGCGACCAAACGTCGGGGCGTAACGTCGGCACAACTTCGTGCCAACCCTAGTCTGCACTAGTTTGGAGAATAATTTTTAGGTCGAAACGACGTTGGATACCTACGTTGGCTAGTAGCCTAATTTAGTACAAACTGCAACGTTGTTTAAAATCCTAATTCACAGAAATACAAAACTAAAATAATATGGCGTCTAAGTCACGTTTTATCCTATATTGGGATAATTATAGTAAAAATATTATTTTTATGATTTAGTAAGAGACATAGGCCAGATGGCAGTAAAGGAAAACAAAACAAAAGTATTTAAGTGTGGAGGATGTTTGAAGATTATAATTATTGAAACACTTTTAATTAATATAACCAACTCTGTAACTCGTTACCCAAGGCAAAAAAGTTAAACGCAAACAACTTTATTTATAAATCTATTGTTTCTATTTTGAAAAATACTAATGGGCCTTAAAATTAAAGAAGTTTTAAAAAATTTGTTTAAATTTTTTTTTTAGTAAAATGAGAATAATTTATTCGCAGTCGAAAAAAAATTGTTTCCGCGTGTTGTTTAGGGTCAAATATTTCAAGTTAATGTATTCAAAAAGCAGGAATTGCTATTTTAGGAACGAAACATTTTCTTATTCAACAACATGGCGGCTTTCACTTTGTTGTTTTGGAGATTAAGATAGAGTAGTTCGAGTAGTCGCATACTGGACTAATAAAGTCGCAGTTCAGCCTTAACAGGTAGTATACTAATCGCAAGATTGCCTAATTTAGTCATCCTAGAGTCTAGCTTGTGCCGCCCTCTATATTCTAAATAAACGAGGGAGTGGATAAAATATCGGTAATATGTCGATGTATATTTAAATTTAGTTTTATATGTGCCTTCCTTACGTCTCATTTTAATTAAGTTTTTTTATAAAAACAAAACAACACTGAACTGTCTGCCTAAACAGAACAATGAAGTGAAAATTTAAGATTTAAGGTTATTGTTCAATACAGTTGCAAAAAAGTAGTGGCTCGACGTCCTACCAACGTAAGAATAAGGAAATCTAAACAACGTTGGAATTAGTAAAACAGACGACGTTTGTATAACGTTGGAATAGGTCCTGAAAGTGACGTCGGAAAACTCTTTATTGCCCAACATTGTAACTACGTTGTCCGAATCACCTAAAGATCACTTAAGCAAAAAAGGTTACAAGACAACGTTTATTCGACGTCGCAGAAGCTTTTACTTTGTTGTAGTACTAGTTCAACGTCGGCACAACGTTACAACAACGTTTACATTTATTTTAATACCCAAGGTACGGAGCTAACTATGTTTTGTAACTAATCCAACGTTGTGTTTAGTAAATATGTGGTCGCAAGTCGTGAAAATGCTATTTGGGTAGTTATGTAATAAATACTTTGTATTTATGCTCACTCCGACTTACTAGATTGCCAAAACGACTCACTCCTATACATGTAAACGCCGACCTAAAGGTTCGCTTGCCAGCAGGGTATATGTAATAAGAAGAATTCCAACAGGAACAATAATTATTAATGACTGTAAATATAAAAAGAAGAATAATATTGGTATGGATCCAGGGTGGCTCTAAGATTAAGGGAATCCAATATGTGGAACCATACCAACTACGGTCACTCCAGGATATGGTCAGTGATGAAAATCATGGCGTACACGAGTACACATCTGCTAGACCAGAGAACGGACTATATGCTCAACAAACATGATTTTGGAGAAAAGATAAATGATTCGCATCCCAACAAGAAAAGTTTCCATTCTTTTCTTGTCGAGCAACCAAGAGATAGAAGTCTACACAGATGCTTCCGTAACTTCAGGAGGCACAAGTGTAGGCATCTTCTCAGAGGAACTAGACATCCGACGATCTTTAAGGCTATCAAATAGCTGTAATGTTTTACAAACAGGGGTTTACGCCATAAAGGAAGCGGCCAGTTGTATATGAGAGAAAATCGCTGATAGACCGATAGGAGATATCGTAATATACTCTGACAACTTGGGCGCTTTAAGAAGCATCGCCATGCAATCAGTGAGATCGAAAACTGTGATGGGCTGCCGAGAAGCACTGTTCTGGCTGCGTTAAGGCGGGGCTACTTTGTGCTGGGTGCCAGGAAACAGCACTGTGTTGGGCAACCAAGAAGCAGACGGACCCACCAAAGGGGGGACCAGGGGAGAGGTCGTGGCAGATGACCCACCACTTGTGACGATCAACACACTAAAGGAAGCTATAGGAACTACCATCAAGGCCAAGTAGTAAGAGACGTGGCAACACCGTGAGGACTGCTGGAAGACTGTGGCCAGTGGTAGATAGCAAAAAGACAAAACATCTACTAGAGCACACAAAGAACCTAGTATACATAATTGTAGGTATCATCACTGGAAACTGCACCACGGGGGTAAACCTCGTGAGATGGAAGATTTCCAAGGACAACTACTGCAGAGAATGTGGAGAAGAAGAAACCATAGAGAACCTGCTGCTTGGGTCGGGGTTGAAATTTGACAGATCGGATTATATTAGATTCAAATTAAATAAGCAAGAGGACAACTCCTCAAAGTTTAATGAAATAAGCACTCATTTTCAAGACAAAACCAAATTTTTCACAGACGCCTCAAAAGAGGTAGACTTTAACGTTGGTATTGGTGTCGTCTGCCCAGACCTTAAAATAGAGAAGACGTACAGAATCCCCAAGTTTGTCACAATATACACAGGAGAGATGGTAGCGATAATGAAAGCCCTGGAGCTGATTGAGACAAGAAATGCATATAATTCACTAATATTATCAGACAGCGAAAGTGCCCTCAAAGCAATAAGCTCCATACCCGCATACAAGGACGATCATATAACTTATTCAGTCAAGAAGAAGCTAATAGGACTAAAAGAAGGTGGATTTAGTATCTCCTTGGGATCGATACCAAGCCACACCCACATAAAAGGTAATGACAGAGCAGATTACATGGCTAAAATAGGAAGACGGAATGGATAGAATATAGACATTAAATGTTGGTACAAAGAATTTTATCCAGTAGTGATTGAAAAATTCTGGGGGACGTGGTTGAAACGATGGAAGGATGATTCAAGGCAGAAAGGCAGGCTGTACGCAGAGCTGATTGAAAAACCATACAAATACCCATGGTTCGGTCCTCTAGGCAATATATCCAGGAAGAAAATCACGACAGTCATTCGTATGAGAAGCGGACATTGCCTCACCCCAGTTCATCTACATCGAATCAGAGTCAAAGATGACCCAAGATGCCAATGCGGCGAAGAGAGCACGTTAAATCACATTTTTTTTCAATGTTCATTATTTTCAGACCAATTCTATACAAATCAATCACCAACCATTATAAGTTCGCCCCGCATGATTATACCTCCTTATTGCATGCGAGTCTCGCCTTAATCGAATATGTAAGTTGCTTTTTAGATTCTTGTAATCTAGAATTGTAAATTTTTGAATACTTATCCTGTAGTTCGGACAATGCATGTAAATTAATATCAATGACTAACTGGTTAGACTTTTTCATATAAGCTTTTGCTTGCCCCTGACATTATAGGGAAATATTATAATAGATTTGTCAGTACCTAAATTCATTCAATACGTTTATCTATTTCACCTAATATAGGACTCACCTTAGACCCAATACAGACACTCAACCAAAGAAGAAGACCTGGACTACCTTTCCAGGGTACAAGACAAATATTCAAGAGAAACAACCCCGAGTCGGGCGCTTTCACGAGCTTCTCTTGTCTTAAATTGAAGAAGCAAAAGATAGGAGATCACCTGGCCGTATAGTCCTGGAAGCTTAGGCCGTAAAACCAATCAAGAAAGAAGAAGAACCTGCTGTGCTACTGTCCGTCACTGGAATACCGACGCTTTAAAACTTTTGAGCAAGGTTTTTTTGGAGGGACTGGAGGAAGCAGCAGAAGCCAACATTAGCGACATCGGGAATTTTGCAATGAGCTGGAAGTGCTTTAACGCAAAGAAAGAATGAGAGGAATGTTTGGTAGAATAACACAGGGGTATCGCAATGGGCACAAGGCCTCCGAATGAGGGATCAAATATGATCCCAAGGCCTCCGAGTGAGGGATCAAACATGATGTCAAGCCCCAGCAACCTAACCTTGGTAAGGATTATCGAGAAATAATAAAAGAAAATGAATTAAATGTGATAGCTATATATATTTGACCAGAACGATTTTTAATTTTCGTCTAATTTAGTATTCCTGTATGTCTCATAACTCAAAAACGAATACGTATACATTCTTCAAAATGTATAATTTGGTTCATTATAAGGAGTTCTTTAAAAAGTTTGAAATGTAAAATAAAATAATAATAAAATATTTCCGTAAAATAAAATGGAGAAAAAACTTAATCATTTTCAAAATTTACATGGGATTTCCTATGCTGAGGTCAACGATGCAACACAGGGTACATCAAATACAGTAAGACAAATACAGACCACGTATTCGTATCCAATATAACTGCCGCTATATTATTTGAAAAATATATACAGGGTGGCG